AACCACCAAATAAAACATGAAACGACAAGGAAACTACCAAAGAAAATGTGAAACAACCAGGAGCCAAGCCGAAAAAAAATGACCAGCAAACAACCTCAAACTATTTTGTGATGAATTCTAAGCATGCTTATCAGGCCAAATATGTACTTCATTTTTCAAAATTATACATAAAACACAGTTTTAGTGGAATTTCAGGAACAACAGACGTCTGATTGAATGTTAAAACTTTGAAAATGAAAATTAAATGAATGGAGTTTTACATCTTATGTTAAAACTTTGAAGATAAAATGTTACAATTTGTCTATTACACAGTTTTGCAATAGCATACTGTTGCCCTTGTGTTATGATACATGTCTTAAAGTGGAATGATTGCCAAGCAGTGTAATATAATTGAGCACTAGATCACATTCTAAGGAGAGTTAGAGCCACAGATGTCTAAGGCCCATCTACACAGTAAAACAGGTTGTATACAACTTTTGTAATATATTCCTTGTCAGTTTACACAGTATATAAAATTGCATGAAGATTGTAAGGCTGAAAACATTGGTTGGAAAAACGCTCATATTATAATGAAAACCGTGTCTGTTGTTCGGATTTTTATCCAATCTTGATGAAACTTGATATGGATGTATATATTGATCAGATCTCAGTTAATTTCGAAATCGGTGATAATCGGATGATTTCAGAGTCATTGCCGTTGTGTGTACAATGATGTGACTTTGTCCATGATTGAATTTGATTATAATTTGGATGAACTGTTTTTGAGGCTTTTTATAAGATTATTTGAAAATTCCTTATGAAATCACTAACGACTTAGTTATCATTTCTGACAGCTGGTAGTAGCCTGGCAAGCTATCTTTGTAAACGCGACAGTTATGATCGGTTTTGGACAATTTAATTGATGAGATCGTTGTGTTGTACTTCGTACTTGTATACATGTATTTGTTTTGAAGGTATTGGATACATTTATACATTTGATTTAGTCTTTTGTTCAGACCAGTGGCGTAGCCAAAGGGGGGGGCAGAGGGTACAGCCGCCCCTCTCTCAGCCCCAAAAGCATGTTTTTCGGGCAAAAATCTCATAAATAGGTTAGAGATTCGGACGTAAACCTAGCTCCGCCACTGGTTCGGACGACTAAAGTTAAGGCATTTTAACTATCAACCGTTTTTCGAGTCCAGTCTTTTAGTCGTCAGAACGCGACCGGTTAAACTTAAGCTGCCTTAACTTGCTGTAGGATATTTTGACCCCCTATAGACCACTTTACGGATAGAGCACGTCTGGTTGTTTGCGCATAAAATTGCGTTGCATAGTGGGATAATAAGCATCCTTAGAGTTCCGCCATAATGTAAACAGAAATGGAGTAGAATAATGAGGGATAAAAAAGACGTAGCTGTGTTGAAGCGAGATGAATTGGGCGTTTTTCTGTAAGACTGGGAATCCCATACGCCAGTAGAAATAAGGAAGATAGACATGTGCTAGCATCTATTGCCGAGAGCAGAAATATTCCGCTTAAAACTCCTGTTGAAGATGATCTCCAGAAAGTGATAGAAGAAAGAAAGAGTAAATTTATTTTGGAAGATGGTTTGATTAAGCTTCCCGATCCTGAAATAATATTAGCTGGGTAGTAGAAAAACTACATAAATTTTCCGAATACATCAGTCTCAGATGTAGAAGATTATATAAAACTGTGTAAGTATTTATTACTATAGTAGGCCTACTGATATCAGACTGGAGATTTCACAACCTTAAACAGATTTTATTATTATTTTAAGGCAAAATTGTTCCACTACTGTTCCTTCTGACTTGTATCCAGTATTATTTGATTATTATGTTTGTATCATGATTCTATTCATTCTAGTCAAGTAGAATAGACTTCACAATTATTTATGTTCAAGTTAAAACAAAATATATGAACTGGCAATTAACAAAATGTGTGTTGCTCCAAAGAGCACTCATGTGAGTTACAAGATGCCTAAAGTAATTGACAGTGTTTTGCTTACCTGATTAACATGATTGGGGACTGGGGTATTAAGCAATCAATCACTTCGGTAGATTGATTCACCTCGTATAAATAGGTCCCGCCTCTTGGCTTGTCTTGTGTGCAAACATATAAATAAAGAACAAAGTAGGTGTGTCTAGTTTACACTCATGTAAGTTCGTGATTTGTTTCCTCAATAAAGTAATAATATTACGTAATGTATAAACTGAATTAATTTTTCAGGTGCTGAGAACCATAATGTCCCGATGAAAGGATCAAAATCAACAAAAGAAGGAGAAAGTGTATATTTATCTGGACATGTTACTGGAGTTGAATAGGCCTACCATCGAATCAGGCCAAATATATCTTACTACTATGTAAAGGCTATTGTTGCTTGACAAAAGGCACAGACACAAGCACCATAATATAAGTGTATGAACAGTCCTTCAGAAGAGAACGGGAAAAGTGGAAAAAGCTTACTGCAATTGTCCAGCAGGTCTACGAGGGTATTGCAAACATTGACTTGCCTTGTTGCATTTTATTGTTAGGCAAATAGAGATGCAACAAAGCAGGTACATCCCAAACAAACCACATGTTCAAGGGAAAAGGGTTACACAACCTGACTTTGTAAGAAATCTTGTTGTGAAAAAGGTTACAGGTAGATTTGATACTACTCAAGAAAACTCGTTGAAAAAAGTCTCGATTGACATTTGAACCAAGAGCATTCTGCTTTATGTCCTCTTTCAAACAAATCTAAAATGCAACATCTTCTAACAAGTTCAACATCAGATCTCCCCCTACTGTGTTGGAAACGAATGATACTGTACCCCCTGGTGTGCAGGTCACTAAAACTTTGTATGTATGTCTTGACTTACTGTTGGAATACATTGCTGAATTATTCATTGGTAGGCTACTACTGTCCAAAGATGGCCTCTAAGTCTGAACTTCTGTGCAGTCTATAATTGCAGAAAATTTACCATATTTAAGGTAACAGTCAGGATAGTGGAGACAGCAACTTGGTGATTTGATATTTCGAATGAGGACTAGTGTGAGATAGTATGGTATGAATTTCAAAAAGTTTCTATGACGGCTAAGCCTCGCAAATTGCCCGTAAACTCTGAGTAATATACTCATATAGGCCATATATTTCGATTCGTGTATATCTTCAATGAGCTTCCGTACAAAAAGTAAGGGAGACAATGTGAGATAGTATGGTATGAATTTCAAAATGTTTTTATGACGGCTAAGCCTTATAATTTGCTGTTTAACTTTGGTTGGTAAGTTTCAGCTTCCATAATAAAATATTATGTCTTAAATGGGCCACAGTACAAAGACTAAGAGAGTTAGACATATAGGCGAAATTGAAAGAATTCTTATGTGTATTTGTCATAAAATTTTATGTTATTTTAACAATAATTCAGATTTCATATCGGATCGATTTGCCGCGAATGTGTATGCTGAGACGATTCGACCCGAATCTGTATGCTAGTTGTACTCTAAGTTCAGTCCGGTATAATATGTACGGGTCGAATATCATCGTCAATAACAATCATTCTTTGGCTTCGTACCGAATAAAGAATATTGTCAATGACTAGTTTGATCATTACTTCAGTGGCCATTCATATTTTATAAACCACTCTTTGATTTACCGAGATGAAACGATATTTACTGCATGGTTTTTTTTAAATAGGTTACAAAAAGTATTGTTGTCTCTTGAATTCAAAACAAATTATTATTTCATTTCATTATCTTTATGAATATGCATTTTATTAAAGTAGCCAATCATAAACGGTTGGAAAAGACTGTAACTGTACAGGGAGGTTAGGTTTGGTCGTCTGATCTACAGAGAATAATGTGCTTTTATTGACAGTTCTGAGGAGAAGGATCAGGTGCATATTTTTTTCGTTTCCAAAGAATGACAGATTGTAATGCATAACACATTGCCATGGAAAATCAGAAATACGTCTTAGCTTAGAATATTGGCTATGGATTGTTTATGATAGGCTGATCTATGATCCTACTTATTTTTTAGTAGGCCTATTTTGACTATGATATGAATGATGTCATTGTCAATGAGAAGCTCAGCCATGTCCATGCCCATGAACAATCACAAGCTACAACTTTGCAAATGGCCTAGTGTAGTGTACATGCCATGCTGATACCGATTATGTGTATGAACTGAATTGAAATAGCTTTCATTAGGTCTGATATCCTTAGATCTACTTTTATTCAAGTTTTTATATAGGCTATAGGCCTACATATTTTTTTAAGGGACTGGCCATTAATGCATTTCACTTAAAGGGGTTGTGACGGGGTTTTCTAAATTTATATAAGCTTATGTATTGGGGACACTGATAGCATCAATTTGCACTATTCCAATTTTAAATCAGATGTCCGTGGTTCCTGCAATTCCAATAAAACTAATGTTTGGTCACTTATCACAAAATATGCTTTATCATAAAAAGCAGTTAAAAGTTAGATTCCATCTTCGTACATCAAATTTTAATGATTATTTTTATGAAATCAGAATATTAATCCTTGTAAGACATTTAGAAGTATCACAGCACATTAAGAAACAACAGTTTTTATGGATATAGACTTCTATTTCTACATTCACTTGATGACATTACCTGTATGTGTAATGAAGCGTTGTGTTCAATAACAAATAGAAGTCTATATCCATAAAAACTGTTCTTTCTTAATCAGAATATTAACCCAAATATGGTACCTTTAGTCTGAGAATGTCTTTGCATTAAAAATATATGCATGAGCACACATGGAAAACAATTATTGGAAGACAATTTCAGCCACAAATATTTTGGTTGAAATTGAATACTCAATATAAAGTTAAGAATATTAATATTTTTATCAACACAAAGTCATTCTAAGACTATTGGTATTGTTTAAAAGGTGATAATCAAATCAAAGTATTGTGACATCAAAATGAAAGTCTTTTAGAATGTGTTTTTTTTTCTCTTCAGATTTATTTTTATTTGGGTTCCATATTTAATTAGCTTACATCATGGCATCTGAAATACCATCACCACTAAAGAAATCAATTCGTGCTGTTCTGTTATCCAAGTTGGGTGGGGTGTTGGTCAGTCAGTTTGCTAAAGACTACAAAGCTTTAGTCCAGGAACAGCTACCTTTCAAGCGTCTTGGCTTTGATAATATGGAAGATTTTTTTACTGCCATGCCTGATGTCGTGAGGTAAGATACAAGTTTCTGGTCATTAGCCAAGGTTTTGTCAGAGATCAATCTGCAGATCTATATGTTTTGTTTTGTGTTATTTCTGTGGGCTATTACACATATCATGTTTTGTTTCAGATTAGAATATTGCAAAAAAGACATGGCTTATCGAGTATTTGGAATAGGAGATCCTGAAACTTACATGTCATCATGGATAAAAAAATCCCAGGATCCTCAAGCAGTCAGTCCCAGGTCAAGAAGAAAAGCAAATAGATCAAGATCTGAAAAGAAACAAGCTAATACATCTGGTAGGTAAAGTATGGCACAAAATCTTATCTGACTTTTGATTTATTCTTAAAGGGACAGATTTGCCATTTTTTTGACCAAAAATCAAATTTTTAGCTGAGCTAATCATTAATAGTGTTCACAGCTCACTGTCTAAATTTGAGCCTTCAAAATCCATGTGTGTCCAGAATTATCTGAGTTTGAATGTTAAAATGAGGACCCATCAATTTAAGTTACTCTGTGATACATAGAAAAAATATATAGAAATAGTGAGTAAAATTCCTAGTTTGAAGTATTTTTAAAGGAATTATGTGATTTTGTACATTTCTAGTACTTCTGAAGACTACTTACATATATTCAAGACTAAAATCAACCCTCCAAAATGGTGCATCTGTCCCTTTAAGAGAGGTTGGATTTTAAGGGTCGGAAAAACTTTTAAAGCAAATGTGATGAAGCAGTTAATGGTGACCCAGATTTATTTCTATGGGCTCAATTTCATAAATTTATATAAATTGTTTCGATTAAAATGTATCACTTAAGAGAAAAACCATCTTTCCCCTTTCAAAAGTAGAGTTACAAACATGGAAAGATATTACCGGTATAAATAGAAAATTAATGAATGTATTGCAGGTTCTGTACATTATGATGATGATGATGATGGTCCTCAAATAGATGATAACAATCGATATTCTGTCATGTATCCCAGAAAGAAAACTCCAAACTTTACTGTAGAGGTAGACATTCATACATAGACAATCTAGCTTGTTATTAACTACAAAGTAATGCAATCCTTTTCATCGAGCTCAGGGAGTGCTTCTCATTTTGAACTATTCCAATTTTTAGTAAGATGTCTGTAGTTTGTGCAATTCCACTAAAACTAAACCTTGTATGATGCACTATCACAAAGTTATCTCAGTTATTATTAGCATTTTTAGCATTAGTGATGTCAGACTAAATTTGATTTGAATTGTCTTACTGAAACTTGGAATGGTGTGCAAATCATTGCTGTTAGTATCCCTGATACACATAAAACACCTCTTACAATGCCTTATGCTGAAAAGAAAAGATGCCTATAGTTATGTCAATTCATGTCATGTAAATATATCAAAACATTACGTTTGATGTCTTTGAGGAATTTGTATAGCTACAAAGGAAAGCAAGAAAACTGTTAATTTTTCCAGGATGTACAATTAAAATTTCAAGATACAGGTGATATTGCTACAGTACATATAATTGAAAGGTATGTTAGCTTATTGGTAATGCAGCAAATGCCAAATGAAATTTTGGCGTTGGTTGCATAAGAGTCTTAGAATTCTTCTTTAAAATTGCTTATCAAAATATGCTAATGTCATTGTTGTAATACCAAACAATATAATGCCAAATTTTGATTTTTAGCTGTATAAATCTTTACACGAAGACCTAATAAATTATTTTCACTTCTAGAAACTGAAACAACTTTAAATGATGCAGATCAATTTATAGGCTAAAGACCTTGTTCATGCATCATCCATATTGAATCCAATTTTAACGTGGTGTCATTGCAGTAAAATCGCCACCTTGATGTGAGTCGTGAATAAGGTCTATATTTGGAAGTTTTTAATATTATGATAGTTAGTGAGAAAATCCAGTTATTTTTGTTACAGATGGATATTTGTACGATATTGGAAGAGAGAGGAAGCCATTAGAGCTTATGATATGTTTCATGAAGAACTTGGAGTTAAATATCCTACTTCAAATAAAGTCAAAAAGAACAGTATGAATAAGTCTAATAATACTAGTAATAGTGCCCAGAATGGTGATATCAGTTCATCATTTGGTGCATCATTTGGAACTTCATTTGGCACATCATTTGGTGGATCATTCGCGAGGAGATGTGGAATCAACATCCTTTGGTGGTGCTATAGTCGGTAGCATAGGAGCTATTCCTGAAAATAAGAAAAGAAATGATAGTTTGAGAAACATTTCTGAAGGTAAGAAATAAAACTAGATTCAAAACCTTTTGTAGGGATCACAGACGTCTGATTGAAAATTGGAATGCTGCAAATTGATGCTATAAGTGTCCGAGATACATGGGTTGATAGATGTACATTTAGTACAGTAATTGTAGTCTGATCCAGAAAGTAAAACAGACTTACCTCCCTTCACTCATGACAAGAATTTGTTGATAATATTTGTGAAATTTAAATTTTATTTTGTAAAGTAAAATTAGTTCTTGGTCTAATTTGATTTCAAGTTCCAAATTTGTGATTGAAAAAGTGTTGATAAAAAATATTTCTTTCATTGTTTATGTTTTGTTTGGTCACATGATCAAAAACACATGTTTTAAACAAACATTGAGATTCTGATTGATTACATCTGAAAAGTTAAAAAAAATAGTTGTGTTTTTGAAGAGAGTTAATTCAGCGTATTTATTTTCATAAAAGTAACATCTAAGAATTGTCACTATATTTTGAGGCACATTTTCTTCGTTATTTGGGCCCTTACTCACTCACTCTCACTCTCACTCTCAGAAGGCTTACTGCCCAGTTACATTGATTGACTTCTGAATTTGAAAAGATATTAAGAATACAATTTTCATATCATTTGTCTAAAAATGTCTTGGAGTGTATTGGAATACAAAGATTGATCATGATATATTATAATCATCTAAGAAATTCTTTGTATTTATGTCAATTTAGAAATTGGTGATGTCTTGGCCAGAGAGTAAGTCAATGCCATGCAGTGTGTAATGAGGGGATTTTTGCCAATTTCTTCGATTTCCAACAGTCGAGGGATTTGACACCTGGTAGCACACAGGGTATTGGATTATTGTTTAATCTGAACGACTATACGATTTTTCCATGTCAGTTCCTTGCATTGGGTTAAAAAATCTGAATGTATTATCTTGACCTATTCCAGGATTGAACCATAGATCTCCAAGGTAGCAAGAAAAAGCGTCTAACTCACTGATCCACTGAGGCTTGTAGGCTTTTATTACAAACAAACAAAGAAACAAAAAAATCAAAACATTTATTAGTGTTTTTGCATCAGATTGGTAGATTTGTTTACCATTAGTAAGAGTTTGCACTTTAAGACATACATGCTTAAATACAATGGTAACTATTTTAAGTTTCAGGTATGAATCAGTATCAAGTATATATAGGTAATTTAGCCAAAGAAATAAATGAGGTAAGATCACACACAGCTTGTTAAACTATGTTACTTGTTCAAAATCCATTACAAATGATGGACAAGGCAAACACATAAAAGCACTGGCCTAGGTCGCAAAGTTGAGATTCCCTCTAAAATAAGAGTAAAGGTAAAGAAAATAATATAAGAATCAGCATTCTTCTGAAAACAGTTCAAACATCATTGTCTTTTGTTACTGTTTGCTAGTGATTTCTCACGTTATGTTATTGTTCTATTCGTTTTGGTAGAGTGATTTAGATGAAATAGTTGGTGGTAGAACAGTCACAAGAGTTTCTGTGAAGAGATTAAATGGTGGAAATAAAGTGTATGTAAAATTCTCATCTTCGAATGTCAATCAGAAACAAGAAACTTTTCTTTTGTATTCGAAAATATTCTATGAAAATAGTGTTTGTAATTTGCAAATGGAGACTTTACAATTATGATTGAAGTTCAGGATTATGGTGATGTCATACAAGTTTTGACAATTGGCGCTGACGATTTTTCTCCATTTTAAAGACTTTCAAAAGTAGTAAATACACGAGAAACCCAATATTTAATGGAAAATCACAACATACCCTGTGAACATTAGTCATGAGAGGTATTGAATGCAGCATAAGAGACCTTATTAATGTAAATTATCTTATTTTAGGGTAGGTTTTATTACATTTACAAGTGCAAAGGATGCAGAAGATGTGATTGCATTATGGGATAGCAAGACATTTCATGGTAGAAATTTGCTGGTAAGACCAGGGAAACAATCACAAGATAATTCAAGAGGTAATTGAGTGTGTATCTTAGTAGTCTTATCCCACACAAATACAAAGGAATCTTTTTGGCCATTTTGTATATAGGACACCTCTATAGATCTAAATTTTTTAAAATTTTGCTTTGTCTTAGATTAAGTATGTGTTCTGAATTTTTTGCATTAATTTTAGTATCATAAGTCATTGCACTATGCAAATTAATTGGAACAGATGTAGAGTATGATTTTGTCCAGATTGTTGGAATTGCCAGCTGTTTTTTTATTACTATAGTTTTCTGTTGTAGCTGATGACAGTAGCAATTCCAGTATAAATTGGAAGAGTCCCAACATTATGAATGAGAGTTTTAGTCAACTAAAAATAAGTACTAATAGCCATACTGATATTCATAATAGTAATTCTAAAGTACTGTCCCCTCGTCAAGTTCATTGTACTAATACTACAATCGGGCAAAACCAATCTATCATACCTACGCAAGTCTTAATTCAGAATCCAGTTTTAAGTAAAACAGGTCTATCCCCAAATTTACAACAAAAACCACCTAATAATGAAATGCCACCTTTAGAACCCTTGAACACCTACAATGACATAATGCCAGCATTACAACCCATGAAGTCCATAAATAGATCTCATAGGGAAGCATGCACATCCAAGAAGCAATCACCAAATCAGAGGATGCAGTCCGTGATGCCTTCTTTGGAACCCATGATGCCTCCATTAGAACCTATGATGCCGTCATTGGAACCAATGATGCCACCTTTAGTGCCAGCTATACCAGTATTACAGCCTATGAGACAACCTGCATCCAGTATATTACCAACACCACCAGTGGCACCAGAATCTGAAGTTGAAGAATATGAAGATGATGTTCCAACAGCAGTTTTTGTTGGAAACTTTCCTGCTGGCACAACTGACGTAATTGAAACATTTTAGTACTCTGTTTTTATTGAATATTTCAATGACATTTAGTCTTAAAGTGCTACATTAGCAGCTTTAAGTCTTAAATAAGCAGCTTAAAAAGCTAAATAAGCAGCTTAAGAGCTAAATAAGCAGCTTAAGAGCTAAATAAGCAGCTTAAGAGCTAAATGAGCAGCTTCGAGTTTGAAACATACCTTGCAGAACTCCATAATATAGTAATTATGATTTAATTCAATTTCTTCTATTTTATTTTGTAGAAAGAATTATATGCTCTGTTTATAAGATATGGTGTATTAAATGTTGAAATAGTTAATAATTCACCTAGACTAGATAAAGGATGGTAAGGTTTTTTGTATTCCATGTTAGGATCGTTAAAAGTACCAATGGACGTTGTTTTTTTTTTTTTTTTTGCATTTTTGTTTGTGATCTCAATGATTACACCTTATGAAGAGGAAAATATGATATCAAAAGACAAAAAACCCTGATTTATTCAATGAACTCTTCTAAATTTTCTGTCAATTAATGGCAGAGACACTGAAAGCATCTTTGCTTATTCCACATGTACCTACAAAGATGTCTATGGTTCTGCAATTCCACTTGAACTTAACAATGGTTTATTTAAAAAATTGGAATGACTCACGAAGAAGCCATTAATGGCTCCAATACATATAAAATGTTTGTTTCATTTTCAGCACCAAAGCATTTATAACAGTGGTGTCATTAAGTAATGCAGTGGAAGCCATATTGGATTTAGATCAGACAGATTATTTTGATAGAAACATTAAAGTAGCTGCTCCTCATAATAATAAAATGTTACATGAAATAGTGGAAAATAAGATACTAGAATATATGTCTGATTCTGACTCCAACTCTCCTCCACCTTCCAAATCTTCATCCAAATCTTCAGCAAAAAATATATCCAGAAATCTGTCCAGAAGTAGTAATGCTTCTAATAACTCATATTATTCTTCATGTAAGTTTTAAAAAGTTGTTTGATATTGCTCTCTAAAAATGGATCTACCATTTGAAATAAGTTTTTCAAACCTCCAAGCATGTGTTTTAGGAACTCAATTGTTTTTCTGCACAATTCTTATTTCTCTTCCAATCTCGACAGTTACTGTAATTGTAGAAAAATGTTCTTGATTATGTCATCATTAATGCATGATGAAATCATTGGTGTTTCTAGGAAACATCAGGTGAAGGGGGTCGAACAGTGGCCATCAAAATTTTCTAGGGGGGTCGGGGGAAGAAACCATTCTTTCACTGTGTAAAATGATAAAATATTTGAAAGTAGGGGAACAAAAGTCGGGCTAGCAACTTCCATGGTACGTTGTTGATTTGTAGGCGAACTAGGTTCCAGATATCTATTACATCTATGAGATGACTTAAGGGCTTTATCAAATGGTAAAGCATATATATTCTTGTAGTGATATGTAATGTAATTTAATGGAATGATTACAGATACAGATGTTACAGATTTAGACTCACAAGATGCTGCAGCACTATTAGAAACATATGGTTATATTAAAAGTAAGGTACAGGCTAGTAAAATATCACAACCAATGAGACAAGGTGAAAATTTAACCCTTAGTGTAACAGCATGGTTGATAGAACAGTATTATTTTGTACAGAATGGATCTGATGTAAGTAAATTTGTGATTGTTGTATCTTGTTCCTGTTTAGGCCAGGGGAAATCTTAATCTGTAATTTGATAAGGTTATTCATATGAAGAAATAAGACTTTAACTGGAGTGGTTGAGTAAAGATACAAGCTTATGAAAATACTGAACGAAAGTTTAGTCAAAATTTAATTAGACTGCCATTTATTCAAATTATCTGAATAGCGCATAGCTTGAAACTCTGAGAAACAACATGGTTTTTTTTGGTTCTGTTTTAATATTTCTTTATCATGCTACAATTAATGTAACTATTTTAAGAGTGAGAATTTTGTGTTATTATTTAGATAGAAGCATTAAGAGATCTACAAGCTATAACTATTAAAATACAGGATAAAGAATATCATCTTGGAAGAACCAAAGGACTAGGACGTTGTGCTGCTCTTTATAAGAAGGATTGGTACAGGTATGATTCTTCAACCTATAATCTTAAAGCTCTTGAGTCCAAATAAATCTTTAACTTCTGAAACACCTGATGCCAATCTGCGACTGGATTAGTTCAACTTTTTTTGAGGCGTCATATCTCTGAATGTTTATTTGGTATATTCTCAAGATTGAAAGATGAACAGATCTATTCTTAAATACTAAATAATAAAATTGTAAACTGAAGGATTTGAAATCAACCTGAATTTACACTTTCCTCTTTTGTATTGATTTGAAATTTACTTTCAGGGCCTGGATTTTACGAGAAGATAGAAACGATCATTCAGTCAAAGTGTTTTATATTGATTTTGGTAATATCTGTATTATTCCATCTAAAGATACCAGTATAGTGCCGAGTTGGGTCTGGGATATAGCGCCTCAAGCTAGACCAGTTAGAATTGAAGGTAAAAAACTACAACGATTAATTTCCAGACTTTTCCAAAACGTATCTTAATTATCATAATATGAATTATTAGATTTGAAATGATCCCTGATAAATCTCTGAGGTAATAAAGACATGTTTTATTTTAAAGCTGATACATATTGCCTCTGTTATAAGAGATATTATCTGTTTCAGTTGGAAGTGAAGGGCCACATGAAAAGGAACTAGTAGAGAAGGTTATCACAGCTACCGTAGCGTCTGTTAAAACAGTGGATAAGGTAGGATATTCTGATTTACTACAAAAAGATAAACTTGTAAGGTTTTTATTTTTTAGAAAAATCCATATTGGCTAGCACATTGGCTCTCTTCATACTAGGATAAAAGGCCAGTCATTGGCTATTTTAGGACTGGGATATTTTGTCTACTTTTTGGGAGGATACATACTTCTCTCTAACAGCTGGGTTGTAACACTGTCTCTTTGTGGCAATGGAATAGCTCAGTCGGTAGCGAGTTGGATTGTCGTCTGCTAGACAGTTAGGTGCTGTGTGTTCCTTATATAAATGACCATAGTGAATTGGAATTTTTTTTTCTAGTGTCCTGTTTATGATGTCATACTGAACAACATACATTCTTAAATTGGGTACCAACAAGATGATACAGATATGGCGCTCAACCAGATTGATTCCTGATTTTAGAGTTGGTCAAGTCCATCATATCCAAATGAATTAAGGAGTGAATTGGTTTCAATTTTTTTTTTTTAATTTTATTTGTATTCGGTATTCCTACAATATTTTGTTATAATAAGATTCAATTAGATCTCTGAATGTTAATGATTTCGTTAAGTAAAAAGTTTCTTTTGAATTTTTGTATATCCACATCTTTTATTAGATAGAATGTAAAAGGAAAAGTTGAATTGTTTTTTAGATTGTTATTTTAGACTGAGGATGTAGAAAAGTATGTAATACAAAGCTTACTGTTTACTTACTTTTGTTGAAAGTCCAATTTCAGCATCAAAATAACAATAGAAACTTACTTACATATTAGGAAATTCAATTGAAAATTTCTTAAATTTCTCCTAAAATTGGCCCTTTGTTAATTTATTCATTAGTATTAAGGAGTTTGATATATATAATTCATATAAAAATAATAAATAAAATTTGATTTATCTAGGATAGTAGGAAGAAAGTTATATATCTTATAAAAATATAGATTATGATAGTTTTTTATATTCCATAAGCTCATGCTTTAAATTTGTGTATATGCATGTTACATAATTCCTGTCTTTATAACATGTTATACATGAATGGGAAATACGGGCCCATAGCAGGTGAAACCTTGGCATATTTTTTAATCATTAAGTTAACTATGATCTGTACAAAGCTTTGATAATCTATGGAAAATTTTCATAAAGATACTATTTTGTGCTATTTACATATTGGCTTTATAGAGTGGGCATTAGAATATTGAATGCATAATTTTGTGCCCAGCTCTTAGGCTAGACAATATTACTATCATTTGACAAATAAATATCGGAAGTAAAAAATCTAGCCCAAGAAGATACAACGAAATTCACCATTGAGTACCAAGTCAGATCCAGCTTACAGGAACTGCTAAGGATTGCCGAATGTTATTTTTGCTCCAAATATCAGACGTAAAATTCATTCTCCTCTTTCCAATAATTAAAAAAAATATATTTTATTTCCTTTATTATAGGAAAATATAGAAGATAACTATTTTCATCTCAAATCTGTTATCTGAATGTCTGAATGTTTCCTCTGTATTCCTTTTTAGATGCAATTTACATTGCTCTACATATATAAAACATATCTGACATATATCTGATGTAATCTTTAATCAAAAATACGACAAAAAAAAAATACTGTATGAATACCTAGATATAGAAAAAAAAATTATCAAAAACAGAAATGAACATTTCTATTCAAGTCTATTCTCCTTAACAATTATTGCTAGATATATGTATATTATTATTTCTGTCAGTTGACATGTATTCTATATGGGATGTTCCTCAAATTATATGTATATAAAAAAATCTCTTTTGAAAAAGGTTCTTTCTTTTAATGGTGAAAAAAAAATTATACAAGATCAACGTTTTTCATTAATTTACCCTTGACAAAATTCCTTAAAATATATTATAATCTTTTTTTTTTCCAGTCCACTTATTTTTTTTTTCAATATGTCTGGACACATGTTTTGATATCAAAGAATAAAAAAAGTTGTTTATTATATACTTTTAAAATAAGAATCAGGATTTTTTATTCTATATGGAATATGTAACAAGTCTTTTTTTACAGCATAATAATTCAATCTGCCTTGATATGAAAAAAAAAAGTAATATTCTTGTATATAATCTCATAGAACTACACAATACCATATTCACATTTTTCTTTTCTTTTTGATAAGCAGCAGATAATCCAACTGCTTTGATAAAAAAGTTATATTATTATATGTAAATGTTGAAGAGAAATTGTGTGTTTTATAAACCTCTCATTAAATTGCTCTGTAGATTTTTCAAGATTCCATTAAAGTTGAACAAAATACCACAACATCGTATATTAGTCTGTCTTTTTTTTTATTTTCCTCCATTTATTTTTGAAAAATTATGTTCAAATATTTATCAGTTTTGTGTTATAAAAATATACGTATGTTAGGGGTTATTATAATTTCTGCAAACGATTATTCTGAATATTTATGAAAGAAAAAAAAAAATATATCCAATATAATGATGTTCATTATCTTCTCCAATAACTCTCATGAAATCTGTTTGAATTATTTCAGTTTCATTTTTTTTTTTTTTGCGTGTTACTTTACACATTCTAGGAAGTCATAGGAGTAATAATTTGAATTTTTTTTTTCTAGTAATTATCAATCTTATAATGTCCTTGGATCCAAGAATGACAAAATTTTTAGCTGTTCTTATGAGCAAAACTTTTGATGACTTTCCTTTTAAAAGCTGATGAGTGGAGCCAAGCCCGTCAAAACATGAAGATTAATATAAAAAAAAATTCAGGTGATATGACCTCAGATCTTCTTTTATGGTTTTCTTTTAACAATTCGTGCATTTTTCTCATAATTTTTCCTCTTGATGGCTTCTTGTCCTCTCTGTATTTTCTTTTTGTTTGTTATAGTTCATCTTCACAATGGTCAAGCTATTACAAACTTTTTATACCTTGACTGCAATAGACACTATTCTTGTATAACAAATCACAGTGATTTGATTGGTTTGTATGCTAGCAAATACAGCCTACGACAGAAAGGCTGTAAACATTATAGCTATTATTTTCTGTCGATGCCTCTGATTGGCTGCATTTGCTAATGTATAATCTTATCAAATTGGTCCATTTACAATAATCCAAGAAAAGTGACTAATGGCAGTCATGGTATAAGTACTTAGTTCGTAATAGCTTGACATTGTGACGATGGGTTTAGTTTGGTTTGCATTATTTTTAATGTACTGCTTTTGAAAATAAAGAGTATTTGAAAGAAAATATGTATGGCTCGAATCAAGAAGGAATACTTCTGTTGGACCCAATATTATCAATGTCAAGGTGACAATAGCTCAAGTCCTATCAATGTGACAATAGCTCAAGTCTTGTCAATATCAAGGTGACAATAGCTTGGTCCTATCAATGTCACTTTAATGACAATAGCTCCAGTCCATTACTTTGGGGCAAATTTTTAAATGGAATGGTGAACCGGATAAATATTTGATATCAACTATTATGGGTTAAAATGTATTTAATTACAAAGTATATCACAGACTTAATATAATAATGGGTTGGTTTCAGTATAACTAAGTGACTAATATATTTATGTACACTCAAAGGCTCAACATACAAAAGTACTCATTTAATATATTATGAAAATCTTTATCCTGTCTAACACTTCTTATAAAATGGCGGTCTTATATATATCATATAAAATATTACATTATGTACAAATAAATAGTAAAAACAAAATAGTATAATATGAATAAAATGTGTGATTATTAAAAATCATAAATTATACACAATATCTTAAATCATTACTTTGAAATCAAATTTTTCATTTATCAGTTTTCTATTTTCTTTTAAGGAGCCCTCTATAATTTTGAGGGCTACTTGTTTATAAGAAAGTATATGCATAGTTTTATTATGAGAATTAAAAACAGTTTTTAAGCATTTTCTCAATCATAATTGCACAACAGCATTTAAATATTGGCCTTAGTCTTAATCGCAACCAGAATCTGCAATTTTAATGACAAAATAGTATCCAAATATCTACAAACACTAGTATTCAAGAAAAGCCAAGATCTAAATATTGTTGACAATCATAAATGAAGCCCTCTCGTGAAATATGCTGAAATACTATGAGCAAATTAGTATTTTAATATCATCAATTTGTAAACATGATATATAAGTGTGTATTTCTAAAGCTTATATTATTAGTGTGTGTACATTTTAATTCATATTTTCTCTTTGTTCTTTATCTCTCCATGCAGCATCCATATATTTTGTGATGGCAGAATTGTGTCTGTAGAAATTCAAGCGCCTGTCAGTTCTGTCAGATTCAAGCTGAAAAATTAAAAGGTACTCAATTCCTAATTTCAATCAAAATCAAGGTTTTTCAGTGAAAATATATGAAATCAAAAACCATTACATACAAGAATTATTGTCCATTAGAATAAGCCAAGTAAAAGCTTTCTTACATCTTACAAACATAGAATGTTTTGCAAGACAACTTTTAAATATGAAGAGAGCTATATTGATAATCAGTTTCAAAATTGTGTTGAAAAGTCAGACATTATATAAAATTACATGACGAAAGTTACAAAGTGCTAAATTTATTCAAGGATTATATTGAATTTTTAGCATCAAGCAACATTTTTTGTTACTAGGTACATTCTTAATGTATTCAAAGGAATGGAATCGATGTCTGAAGACTATTACATTCATTTGCTAAATTTGTTAAAAAAAAAACTGTTTAATTTTCAAATTGCTTCTGTTAGAACGCAGCTTTAAGTACAAAAATAAATGTCAAAATTAAGACTGTTAAGCTTATTGGTGTGCTTGGTAGAAAAGTGGAAGAGCTCTAATCTTTCTGTCCATTCTAAGTGTTTTGAAGAAGACTTAAGATCTTACCAGGGGTTTAGTTATCCAGCCTATTTCCTGAGATTCTGTTTGTGGATAATCAAATTTTTTAACTGGTTCTTGGTTTGCCCTGTGTATAACTTCTAAGAAATGACCTAAAAAGAAAGAAAATATAATATTGTGTAATGCTTGCCTCGATTGTAGAATAAGCTTATATCATTAAAATCAGAATATCTGTCGAACAGTAAGCTTAAGCGTATCTACAATATGCTTATCGTATGTAGATTTGAAACTGAACTCTGGAAATATCAGCTCTATAAAAACTTGCTTAGGTTTACAACAGAAAAGGATAAGCTTAACTACTAAGCTTACAAGCTTATATTTAAAGCTTATTGTACTATTAGAGCCTAAAGTGGCTTAAATATTGAGACTTACTATCTTCTTCACCCTCTTCTGTATCATGAATAGAATTAGGTTTACCAGTTAAAACATGAACTGTAAAAGAAAAAAAAAATTATCTAATTACCAACAAATTAAAGACTAGTAAGTTGACTTTTGATATAAGATACATTTTCTAGTCTTTTGTCCTTTTTTATTGATGACAGCTGTAAAATTCGTAATAAATTGTTTAGTAAGGAATGGCCATATATCTTGTATTTTGTTGTTTACTTTTTCTTAGTAGGCTCTTTGTTAAAGTTAGGTTTTACAGTTTTTAATAAGTGTAAACTTAGTCTGCCATAACTAAGAAAATCTATTTCAAATAACAGCTGGGCCGTAACTCTGCGCGGCCTTCTTTTATGTCTGCTGTTACCCATTTTTTAGTCTTATCATGTCTTATGAGTTTGGGTAAGCTTATATTGATCAGTGTGGTCAAAGAAGTGAATAGATAGATTTAGATTTTAGATTTAGAACATTAGGTTTTAAGGATAGGCTACAGTTGTCTAAAACTAAAAAAGGTGACAGAAAAAAGCATCACATCATACATTATCCTGTTTTTACAGAAACTTAATATTATATGACGGTGGAACTTCCAATTCCTACTCCAACAATGAACAATATATGGAATCGTGGTCATATCTGACTTCTTTCTTCATGTTTCAAGAAGCCAGAGGTCATGTCATTTCAAATACAACTAAGTCACTAGGCTAAGCTAACTAGATCTATTCTAACTAAGAATCTAAGCTAAGATAAAAACAGAAGTAAGAATCTTGCTCATCTGATTTCTGGGGAAAGAACGCGGCCAAAGAGAATAATACTTACTTTTGGTATATGGGTTGATGCTGTAGTTTGTATATAACTTTTGGTGTCGCTGTTCTTTCATAATAGTTTCACACAAGATAGCATTTTGATGAACAGCATTTGGAGATTCTTTCACAACGTTCTTCGTGGCCGCCATGATGGTACAGTATAAACGTTACTAGGGGCTGTTGCCAAGGAAGAAACCTTCGGATTCTTCTATTTGATATAATCAATAAATACAAAAAAACGAATTTATTTTAAACATCGAAAAGTAATATCTGGTGCTGTTTCAAAGAGATTACAAATGATAAATACATTAGAGACCGAGAGTCAAAACAAAGAATTTAAGGAATAAGAAAATTATATTTTCGGTTCAAAATATGTCTAGTGTTTTCATTTCTTGCTTTGATCGCAGCCATTAACGCCATCTTTGTTTTGAGAGTTGAAAAGAAAGAAAAGAAAAATAGGTCAGTATTTTTGCAGTTTATAATCCACATATGGATCAAGTTTTTATGTTATTTCTAGAAATGGTGAAAAGATCTGTGTTAATTTTATTTTAAGTCCCAATTCACTAGTATTTTGCTGTTTGTCTGACATCACTTCTAATGTTTCAAATTGTAGATCTTAGCTTGTTTTGCTTTTTTAAAAAAAAATAAATTGTTTTGTTTATCGGTGGCTTCAGTTTAGACCCAGTCTTGTCTATGATATGAAATATGGTAATAATTCTGTGACTTAAAATATTAATACTTACATTTTATGATTTTATGAAAATGAATTCTTTAAAATGCATTTTACTTAAGAATCCAATGTATTGAGATTTCAAGTCTCAAAACACCAAATACACTTCCAAAACTAGCAATCCAAGGAACAAGTAGAGCCAGATTTGCCGAGCTATTGTTTCCTGCGAAAGTATAGTTTTGACATTTATCTATTAGTATTTGTGGTATTTGGCAATGAATTTTTGAAATCATGTGATAAGTTTCAACAGGCAAATAATTAATTTATGGCATAGTGTACAGTGCAACTATTGGTATTGCATTTCAAGATAATGATTAAGTTATGTTTATAAATCTTTCAGGTCAAGAAGAACTAAATAAATGGACCTCTAGTCTAGGTTTGAGAGAAGTTGTATAAAAGGTTGTTGACTCCTCAGTAACAAATATTTCTTTCAAAAAACAACCCAAAAACATGGATCCAGATTATGAAAAAAGACTTCAGAGACTACAACAAAATGGACAACTCTCTCCTATTCCTTCTCCCTTTGGTTCGGTAAGTGGGCAACTGGGCACATATGTAATTTTGGTCTCTGCAGGTGAGACTCACCAGAGTTGCAATATTAAATTACAATGAATAATATATTGATTATTATTGTAATAACTTGATAACATAATGTTGGTAACCCAATTTGCCATTACAAATATGATGCATGAATCTTTATTATGTACAACCTGACATCTTATCCATATCAGCACCTCTGACCTGCGTCACTGACAGGGGAAAACCTCACTGAAAATCATGAGCTGAATATCTAAAACACCTGTATTATACCTTGATCAGATTGCTAGTACCGGTACATGATTATGGTTACTATGAAATTATTTCATCTGATTTGTTACAGCCTGTCAGTACTAGTCCTATAGCTTCACCCAGTAAAGATAAATATGGTGACAGATTCATACCCAGTAGAGCAGGGGCGTGTTGGAATATTAACTTTAATATGATACAAGATGGAAAAACACCCTCACCCAGTACACCTCGGAAAGCTAAAGAACACCAAAGTGATACAAATAAAGATGGATTAGCTTATAATTGTTTATTAAAAAATGAGTTGTTGTTAGCTGGTATTGATGATTTGAAGGTGAGAAGACACAAGTTTTAATTTTAAATTTTTCTTCTGCTTCAGATGGCAATATTTATAACTGAAAGTTGGTTTCAATTTTTTATTAGGTTGAAATTTGCGTTGGCTCTCAATTTTAACAAGGTGAATGACGATTACTAATATTTTCGTTAAATTGTAGGATCAACAAGATGAAAGAAAAGTTTTAGTAGCCAAAGAAAGTAAAAATTTATTTCGGGTAAGTGAACTACCAGTATTTTTTTAAAAAAAAGAATATGTGCAAATTTGTACTGAAAGGATTATGCTCATAATGTACTAATATTGGATTGCAAAGAAGAGAGGGATCCTACCTAAAATGGCTGCCTTATCATTTGAAAGGCACTTAAAGTGAATGCAGCACACTTGATAATAGAGCATATAGCTCTAAGACTAAGCAACCCTTTTTTTATTGAAAAGGGAAGCTGAAAATATTAAATTGTTATATTTTTTCAGCAAGCTTTGATTTCTATAAAAATGATTCAAAAATGTTAGAATCACTAAGCATGTCCCTTTTGACTTTTGATTACAGTATCGTGTACCTAGGCATAGTTCAGAAGGTGGGGATGCTTCACCATACAGTTTATCACCAGTAGGCAGTAAAAGTCAGAAATTATTACGATCTCCTAGAAAGGTATGTTTATGATAAGTTATTGTCAGTTATTGAAACTACAGATAATCCATCTATTAGATATTGATATTATGATTTGAAAAAACTTTGAATAGTGATATTGAGCTCAATCGGCTGGTAGAGCTTAGATCTGCATTCTTTAAATTAAGCTCAAACCAATTGTTTTATTAAAAATTATAGAAGCTAAATCTATACTAAGTTATTCAGTTGGAAGACCTAAAACAGCCTGTTTTAGGGACATAAATGCATACATTTTCATGAAAATTTCCAGCTACATTGAAAGACTATTGATTTTATTGTCTATTTATTTATTTCAGGCTGTGCGAAAAATCTCCAAAATACCTTTTAAAGTTTTAGACGCTCCAGAATTACAAGATGATTTTTATCTCAATTTAGTGGACTGGTCATCTCAGAATGTTTTAAGTGTTGGGTTAGGTACATCAGTATATTTATGGTCAGCCTGTACAAGTCAGGTATGAGTTATGAATTTGATTATTTTTTCGAAAAGAAAACATCTGGAACATTATTAAATACGAGATGAATTCTGCTTTTTGTTAATACTCTGAAGACTTGTCAAACCATGATGAAAAAATTGTGCAAAGTAATGATCTAGTGCAAACAAAAAGCTATATATATTGGTCAAATGGGATAAAGGATTATACCATGATTCCTCTTAATTTGATCTTGTATCATGATTGTAATATTAATTTTATTGCAGGTAACAAGATTGTGTGATTTAATGACAGATGGAGACACAGTTACATCAGTTTCTTGGTCTGATAGGGTATGGTTTTATTTATTCATTAAGTTTAATTATGCCTGTGACGAGATGTCCCAATGTATTTGACCAGAACTCATTTCATGTTGCTGACTTGTGTTCAGAATATGAAATTCTCATCAGAACAGCTTGTTTAGAAGGATTTTTTCCCCAAATATTAAGACTTTAAGTGTATAACAAAGTAAACAACCTTAATTCATTGTCTGCACTGTAATTTCAGGGAAATCAAGTGGCTGTGGGGACGAATAAAGGTCATGTACAAATATGGGATGTTGCAATGACCAAGAAAATAAACACATTAGAAGGGCATAGTGCTAGAGTGGGTAAGTAGTTTTATTTTTCAAATCTTTTAGGAGAAGAACATGGCAAGCAAATACCACAATCATGGAATTGCTAGAGTGGGAAATATAAATATGTTGTAGTTTGAGAAGTAGACATAAATCTCCTTGTTATGATATTGTTCAATATGTTTGTATGAATTTTGAAATTGATTTTGATATAGGTGCATTAGCGTGGAATGGTGATATGTTATCGTCAGGTAGTCGTGATAGATTAATATTACAGCGTGATATACGTACACCAATGATAGCACCAGAACGTAGGTTAACAGGGCATAGACAGGAGGTAAGCATCATATTTTGAGCAAATAACAATTAACTATAGTTTAAGGAAACAAATTTTCATATATATACTTATCCAATATGGCTGTCGTTTCCATTGCAACTCATGGCTCTATGTTTTTGTTTTTTTTAATATAATTTGAAAGCCGAACTAGATAATGTTAATCTTTGAAGTACAATCCTCCCTTAAACGAAAATTTTCATCTCTTAAATTAAATTTTTGAAAAAATTTCTTCAAGCTTATCCTAGAATTTGAAAATAAACAAATATCTTTTGATGTTATTTATTATGTATTTTCACTGTATAATGATGATTATGTGTTTTATAGGTTTGCGGGTTAAAATGGTCTCCAGATCATCAACATTTAGCATCAGGTGGTAATGATAATAAATTGTATGTGTGGAATATGACAAATACTACCCCCGTTCAAACATACACAGAACATTTAGCTGCTGTTAAAGCTATAGCCTGGTCACCACACCAGCATGGTTTATTAGCTAGTGGGGGTGGTACAGCTGACAGATGTATTCGATTCTGGAACACGTTAACAGGGCAGCCATTACAGTGTGTAGATACAGGATCTCAAGTGTGTAATTTAGCCTGGTCCAAACATTCAAATGAAGTGGTAAGTGTGTTTTTATGAAAAATGTTAAAAAACGAAGATAAGATGGACTGCCATTATGTTATGTTCCTAGTTGAAGGAACACAAAAAAGTTAGGAAGCAGAGAATATCTGGCCAAATTTTCCGTTTTTTTGAAACTCAGAAAGTAGCATGTTATAATAAAGGATACCAGAATATTTGATGAATTTTTTTGAGTTTTCATGCCAAAAATGTATTGCACTGGACAATTTCATATTTGAATTATATAATTTCAGGTTAGCACACATGGTTATTCTCAAAATCAGATATTAGTATGGAAATATCCTTCATTAGTGCAAATATCTACATTAACTGGGCATACATATAGAGTTCTTTATTTAGTAAGTAGTTTAGCTGGCACATTTTTTCAATTTATTTTGATGTCCAACGGCTTTGGAAATGTTTAGTTTTAATGTGTGTTTTTTTAATTGTTTGGTCAATAGCAAATCAAGATTTGAACTGTATTATGGTGGTAGTGATTATTTCTGGAAAAGTGATTTTTGGGAGTGAAGTTTTAAGACCTTGATCTATGGCAATGTTGAATCTGTTATCCATACTTTCAAAAATCTTCATGATATTGCTCTGTACGTCATGTTAAACTAGGTATTTGTTGCTACTTATAAACATAACATAACTAAAAGTTTCATTTATTATAATTTGTAGGCAATGTCACCTGATGGTGAAGCTATAGTTACTGGAGCAGGAGATGAAACATTAAGATTCTGGAATGTATTCAGTAAAACTAAGTCTACAAAGGTAAATTTTACTTTTGACTGTTTGAACACCATGGGAACTGTAGATAATATTGTTTGGTTAAGAAAAGCCAAAGCCAAATGATGGGGTAAACTAAACAGAAAACAGAAAACCAAAAGGCATTATATTCTCATTTACAGCATCTAACAGGGCAACTCTTGTTGTCAGGCAAGGAAAATCTGTAAAGATTGCATTTATAAATGAATCTATTTTTTCTATTTCAGGAATCAAAGTCTGTCCTTAATTTATTCACTCGTATTCGATAAAATCGACATCATTTATACCACCTTCTCTTTACTTTTATCATTTCTTTTATTTAAATCTCTTAACGACCCATCGTAACTTCCACAATATGACCATACTTTGCTTCCTGGTTCAAACTTATTCACATGGCGATATTACATAGTCTTTGTTATATATATCTTTTAGTTTAATATTTATTTGTAAGTTTTGTTGGTCTGAATATTGTTATTTTCTTTTTGTTTAGTTTACTAGGTTTTCCTTCTGAACAAATTTCGGTTTTGATCTGCCTAGAATTATTTGACCACTGATCTTGTCTGTGTCCTCAGTTTACAGAAAATCTGAGATCACTAACTCAGCTGAATATGTCCTGGCAATATTCATCTGAAAGTGTGTATGTAACCCTTTTTCGCTGTAGATATTCCTTATTTCTATCATAGTCTGAAAAGAGTTAAAAATTAGTAATAAAAAGAAGAAAAAAGGAGTCTTTTCAAAAAAAATATGCAATTTACTAATTTTTGTTAAAAGGGATGACGTCAAGGAATGATTTCACAATGTCAAAGCTGAAGTTCTATTGAACCATGCCAATTTAGACATTTTAAGGATGATTAGATGATACATTTATTTGTTAAACATTGCTGTCATTTGATACATTGCGAATCCCATTTCTTGCTTAATTACTAGGAGAATTAGGGTTTTGTACTATGTTAGGGTTTATAAATTTGAAATGTACATAAATATTCCAAGCATTGTTCAGAAGGAAAACCTCTTTTTTAACATAACTAAAACATTGAAACCCGGTTCTTGTTTCTTAATGAATCTTGCGATTATTTTAGGTTGTAAGTGTGTTTCTTCTTACTCTTAAAGTCCACACTAACGACATATTTTTATCAAAAATATTTTCAAGAACAGGGCTTGGGTTCCATTTCTCAAAATATCTTGATCGTTTTATGTTGTAAGTGCGTTATTTCTTACTGCAAAATTCCACACTTACGACATATTTTATCAAAGATTTTTACTAGAACAGTGGCTTTGACCATAAGTCTACAGTACATGAAGTCAGGATTTTGAGGGATCAGGAATTTATTTTAGACTGGGATACTAACACCATTCTAATGGGCAATTCTGATGTAGATTTGCAAAAAAAACACTTGGTTAAACTTTGTACTTATTTAGAAATACTCTTTTAACTCATCCTGTCAAATCTTATGGCTGTGTAAAATTTCAATGCCAATGTGAGCAAATTTTAGCAGCAACTTTTTGATACAAAGTCACCCAAAGCTGGTCTTGTTTGATAATAATTTTATTTTTCAAGAAATAATTTCTTATTTTAAATGTCATTTAAATATTTGTTCTAATTTGAATATGATTGATTTCTTTTAATATTCTTAAGAACATCTGAAATTCTGCAAGATATTGTCCAATGAATGAGCATGTGTATCACATGATCCTTGACACAGGAGGCAGATATTTTCATTATTTCAACCACATAACTCAATTGGGCTACCTCAATCTTGAATTTCAAAATGTCATATGTAAGTTTACTGCCAGGACTGATCTTTATATAATATTCTCATTTTTCACATCTTTTAATATGGTTATTGTTATCCAAAAGCACATCTTCACAATGGTCAAGTTATTACAATCTTTGTTCTTGACTACAATAGCCACTATTCTTGTATCACAGAATGCAGCAATTTGATTGGATTGTACACCAGCAAATACAGCCAACCAGAGCCCTCGACAGAAAGACTGTTAAGACACGGCTAGTTTTTTTTACAAACTCTCTGTTCAGGGTAGCAATCCAATGAAATCACTAAATTTACAAACTTCCTTGATACAAGAACAGTGGCTTTTGTAGTCAAGGTATAAGAAGAAGTTCACAATACCTTGATCACTGTGAAGATGCTATTTCATTGCAAGGAATATTTCACTTCATGATATCATCTGTTTCCATTTTGATTAGAAATCTTATTCTTTAAAAAACTGAGACCTTTATGATTTTGTTAACCAAAATTACCCCAAAAATATAGACTCTTCAGAAATATCTTTGAATTGTCCAAAATATGTACAAAATATATGTCTGACTGTTGATTTAATGGTCACCAAAACCTTGCATGTACAACATAGATAGACATTTATTTTGGAAAGAAATAGGCTGTTTTTTTTTGCATTTAAATTTTTTTCTCTGAATTTATCGATTATTTCTAGAAATATAGAGTCTTGATGACTCTAGAGATTAATCTTAGGCTATGGGTTAATTATTTTAGAAAATATATATGAGAGGAAAGTCTTTTAATAAGTTGTTATAAAACTATTGTGTATGTATTTGTGTATGACAACAGGTTTTTATGTGAATGTACTGTTAGAAACAGTTGTGACCTGATCAAAAAAATAAATATTTGAAAAAATTTAGTTATGTTTTTAAATGCTTACAGAACTCGGGTGTATTCCTGTGATAACATGAATAGGGAAAAATCTATTGTTAGTGGAGATGGGCAGGTTTAAAGATCTTACCTCCAATCAACAGGATATAACCAAGCAGAGTCTACATACTGATAAAAATAGTATTTGGCATTAAACTTTAAAAATATACTATCATGGTCATGTCGGAAATTTCCATGAAAGAACAATGTGTCGTTTCGTATGATTTTCTGAGTGATATTTAGTATTGGCCTGGATATAGTTATCTCCCTTAAAACTGACTCTCCAGTCTTCATTAATTTGGCGGGAAAATAGTCGACGTTCTCAACGTGATAAGTTAATGATCACGACTTTTCTGTTCCGTGTGTTCAAGTATTGTTTGAAAGATGGATTCAGAAACATCTGCAGCAGATGAAAGTGATATGATGTCAGTCATCAGTGAAACAACCGTTGGTTCAATCAACTCTCCAATTATGTTCAATTTGCTAAGCAGGTATGGATATTTGAGTGTCATAATGTCCACACAAATCACACATTAGATTCGACAAATAAGTCTACGTCGATTAGCCTATTCACCGGTTTAGATGTAAATGTTTTTTTTTTAACTCAGGTGGTAGGTGGAAAACGTTGAGATCTTTAACAAATTGTGTGTCTTTATTATAATGTAATGGCTGTGGATTAACCTTTACCTTATTATTTTTAAGATCTAAGGAATTGATTACTTCAGATGCTATAAACAGAAACCCAGGTAAGATTCTATTGTGATTCCCTTTGGAAGGAACATTTCTAATATATGCTCAAGTTAGATGTGTAAATCTTTGAAAAATTCTCTTTCAGCGTCTTCACCATTAATACCAGACCAAAATTTTGACTTATTAACTTCAGATGCTGACTTTTACAAAAAGGTGAGAAATTCTTCAAGGGTCTTTCCAGGTTAGACCCAATGACTAATCTAATACTAGATGAAGCTACTCTATACATTCGTGAAAAGAGCGACGCGGTCCTTTGACAACAATTTTAGATCAGCCCCGTTTCCCATTTTTTATGCTACACAATGAAACTGATTTATATTTGAATGAAATATTGTTTAAGTATCCACTTCTCTTTTAGGCAGTTGGTAGTATTCCTAGCGGGGATGATGATGATAACTCACAATCTCTGCTATCGGAACGATATGGATCTAGTGATCTACGAGTTACAAAGTGCGAAGATATTGCCAGTGAGAAGTCAAGTGACTTAGAGTACAACCATTCATCACAATTTCAAAGAAACCATTGTCCAAAAGAAGTAATGAGGAGATTTGATGAAAGAGCATCATCTTTGGCCGATGATCAAATCATCAGTCCAAAAGTGGAAAATATCCATGATTCAGCAGACAATAACCAAAGCATCAACTCCAGCAACTCCAGGGAAGCAGTGGAAGACACACTTGCTGATGTATTAACATCAGTAGAGCGTGATTCGGTTCTTCACGGTGATCAGCTGACGCCAGATCTTGATTCGTCTATATCCCGTGTAAAAACCAGAGAAATACAACTAAGTCCTTTCACTGGATTCGATTCTGAAATTTATCCCGAATCTATGCCGGTGGCGACTTTTCGATGCAGAAATAATTCACCTCTCCATAAATCAACGGGAAAGTACTGTCCTAAGAACACCCATAAAGAAGTACATGATGACAATGTTCAGTATGCTACAAACGATGAAGATGACCAGATTGAATTATTAGAAGAAGATCCTAAAACTACCACCGCTAGTGAAAAAAACAGCACGATGGCTTCACCTGATTTGAAATATGTCGGATTGGATGATGAAACACAAGCACCAGTGAGTGGTGACCAATCACTAGAATTTAATTTGCCGATTAACTTAGAAAAGACAAACAGCTCATGTCCGATGGAATCTTACAACGAGCAAAATGATAAAAATGAAATCCTTTCTGAAGACCGTCACCAACATACTCCAACGAAAACAGACTTGCTTGGAGAGCAAGGTATGCAGGTTTCGTCTCCTCAATTTTCAGTAGTTTCTGATCAATCAACGGAAATATGCAGGTTAGATCTAAGAGTAGACACCATCGATATAGCGTGCAGTCAATCAGATGCTATACCTATGGATATTATGTCCTCGGGAGTGACCGATGGAGGCGATCCAGACACCACGAACCACTGTTCAAATAACTGCTCTATCGAGACGGAAGGATCAAACGCAAATTTCCAAACGGCTTCACGTCAAGATCTTGATGAAGAAATAAAAATGCAAGATCCAATTGACATAAGTTCAAATCGAAATAGTAATGTGTCGAATTTACAGTTAAATAATTCTAAAGAATGCAAGGACTCGGGACTGACTGATAGAGGTGACATCACAAACCACTGTTCAAATAATTTCTCTGTCGAGACGTTTAGATCAAACGCAAATTTTCAAAATGTTTCACTTCAAGAAACAAAACATCAAGATCCAATAAACATAAGTCCAAATCAAGATATTAATGTTGTGTCGAATTTACAGCTAGATAATTCTAAAGAGTACATGGGCTTGGGTAAGTCTTGGGGATTGATCGATGGAGGTGATCCAGACACCACGAACCACAGCTCTATCGAGACTGAAAGATCCAACGCAAATTCCCGAAAGGTTTCAGTTCAAGATCCAATTGTCAAAAGTCCAAATCAAGATGGTACCGTCGTGTCGAAGCCAGATTATTCTAAAGAAGGTAGGAGCCATTCTGAGGGCCAGTCCGATAATGATTTAACTTCACTTGAAATCATGATTGCAGATCAAGATGATCCCACCGTTCATGCATTAGATAAAGCAAACCACACAGAGAGTCCTTCATCACCAACTATGTCATGTGTTAGTGAAAGCATATTGTGTACAACAAATGACAAAGAAGGCCATAAAGGTCAAATAATTCAAAAGCGAAATTATGGTATATCTATACCACCCGTGATGGACAGATCTGAAATGGGACCTAAACACCAATCCATTAATGAAGAACAAATGTTGGTGAAATCTGAAGAGAATTCTAAGGAAGAAAGATCATCACCAGCAAATGACACGAAACAGTCTTCAGCTGTATTGAGTAGTTGCGTTGCACTGCCATCAGTATTCAAAGATCAATCTGAACATGACATTAATCATGAGTCCAACAACCACAAAGATCCTAATATAGAGGAACTGACCATTTGCATCGGCGGTGCTTCTGATGAATTGGCAATAGAAGCAAAAGAAGGAATTGAAGAGCTCAAGATTAACTACGAAAATATTTCTGCCACAGGAGATACTGATAACTTAAAAAGGCTCGCGTTACCTAAAGAACATAACTCCCTAGAATTATCGCAACTATTGAATAACTCGAGTACCAATTCATCTGAAAAATGTGAAAATGCGGCTGGTGGTCATAGAATGTTAGAAACATGTTTACCTAAACCATTACCAAGCCAAGAACTTTTGAAACATGAATTAATCCATGATGCGTCTTCAGGACTATCTAATGAAGTTTCCAAACCATCTGATAGCCTAAAGACCCACGTCATTCCAGAGCATCCTAGAAAATCTAATCCGAGTTCCACAATTTCCCAAAATATCAGTGCGGGTGAATATGTACCTAGTTCAGATACACTTAAGCAATTAGAACCAACCAGAAAATTAAAATCTGTGGAAAATATTGCGTTCATGTATAAATCAGAACAACTAGAAATATCCAAGAAAAATACAGAACTTTCCCAAAGTACACCAAGTTATAAATCAATGATATATTCACAAAATATTCAAAAATCGAAATCGGAAGTACAACAGAATGTGTGCTCTCAGCAGAACACCCCCGAGGCAGCTCTAAGAAGATCGAGACGGGAGTCTAAACATCCTATTAGATTTTCTTCACCAGAACAAAATATCGAGTCCAAAGCAGCCAAACAAGGCTCTCCAGTGGGGAACAAGATGCCGACTGCGAAACCTAATTATAAAACCGGGAGTAAGAAGCAGAGGATATCGATCAGATTCATCAATTCAAAGACAGATGGCAAAGCAGAAACGCAAGACATGGAATTCAGTGATGATTTTGAGGTAGGTAGAATCTATGTAAATAAGAGTTTTGTAGGATGAGCCAAGCTGCAAACTGTTTCTTTGAGTTCCACATTAATATCAACACCTTGAACACCATGTTGTTTGATCGAAATCTTGTACATGTAATTACAACTTGCAGGTTCATCAAGAGATGCTCAATACCTATATTCAGATGGAAATCATGTATGGACAACTTCAAGATGACATGAAAAGAAACTCGCCTGACAGGGAAAGCCTTAGTAAGTAACATAAAAAACTCAACATAATTTGCGAGTGGTCTAATAAAGGTCATAATTAGATAACTGATTAACAAACAGCCATTAGAAATTAGTCGCTATGCATACGTAAAACATTTCTATAATCCACGACTAGGACAAACTGCTTAGCCTGGTCGATAGGGGCTCATGAGCTCAATATCTACAATTCTAAGTACTGATTTGTATCATTCTCCAAATTGAACACTAGTTCATTCCCCAACTACAAAGTATTACAACAGCAATTATGTTATCTCTGAATCCCTAAAATACCACTATTTGGACAGCGAACTAATCATTGATGGTTTATTGTATTATTTCTACATGGGCAAGTATTTCAACAGATAAATAACATTGACAATAAGTACAAACATTAGACAATATTGATTAAGCATATCTTATTGTTAAGTGTATATCTCATCTATTAATCATATGGTTCCTTATTTTGATTGACAGCTTTCATATCGTTAATTGTCTCTTGTCGTATAGTTTTGTGTAATATGAAAGCTTTTATACACATTCCGCTCTTAAGTTCTAAATTCCATTAACTGACCATCCGTAATAACTGGTATTGATATGTAGTAAAGCCCGAACTCAACAGATATCCTTGGCTTACATTCACGAACATTGGTTGATGTGGATCTATCATAAAAATTAATTTTTCTTTCAGAAAGATGTTCCTTGCAGTTCAAGACCTTGCAACCACAGCTGATGAAACTTTTGTCCGATTCGAAACAAGAAAGTCAGAGAATTTCTTCGAAAGCTTGTACAGCAAGCGATAAATCCTTGATGAGAACAAGAATAAAACTGCTTTCTATAAGACAAAAGAAACTGAAATCTCTTTTTGATAAGCATTGTCGTGCTCAGTCGACCTTGAGATTGATGAAGTCAAAACTTGTCGACGAAGATAAAATGAACTTTACTCAAATGAACTTTACTCAAAAAACTACTCATCAGTCAGCAGCTTTAGCAAGTCAAACCATGGAGAGGGCCGAACTTTTACTGAATGTAGAAACTGGTGTGTTTGAATCTGGCGGAAAAAGAGTACCAAAACCAGTGGTATCGGATGTACCAATTCAATCTGAAGCTCTGTCTGCTGTTAGCAGCAGATTTGCTCAATCGTCCTCAAACCGTGATGATCCACATCGACAACCTAATGTCATTACAGTTGTGTCAGTTCCAAGATCCGGAAATAGTTGTTTTCAAACAAATCCACCAAAAACGCCCGAAAACCTGTCTCAAAAGATTGTCACTATTCCTGTTGGAAAGGCTTCGGTTGGTCAAAATCAGATCACTACGTCCATCGCATCAAAGAAACCATACGAGGAAAGAAGAAATTCCAAGAAACTTATCACTCACAAATTTGTTCCACCTTCCAAACCAATTTATGTGAGAGATGGCAATGCTGATTCAACTGGTGTTTCGGCAACATCACGCATGGAAAGCATGACACCCATCTCGATAAGCGATATCCACAATAAACCATCTATGTCAATAATTGTACCAACAAGTGTCATAAGTACACGAGCCCCGCAAAGTACATTTTGCCAAGTAACCAAATCTTCAAATGATGACGAGATTCTAGATATCATTTTGAAGAGTCTGAACAAAGACGCTGATGAGTCAACAGATTCAGTTTCTAATACCGTTCCGAAGTCATGTGGTCCCTTGCATCAAGAAGATAGTGATTCCAATGTTTTTGAGTTTGACAATGAAACAGGAGACTTAACACAGGGGGAAGAAATGGTATCCAACATTTATCAGACTCAAACTAAGATGAAACAGCATGCTGGGACGATAAATTTGCCTGGAATTGAACCAAATCAACAATCTTACGTTCAACAGTGCAGTAACAAGATTGTCCAAAATCCACTCGTTAAGCCATCAACATCAGATATTAATTATCATAGTCTTACCAAGACTCCAGGAAAGAAATCACCATTCCACTCCCCATGCCGCTCCGTGATGTCTTTAAAAAGCAGTTTTTCGACCTCATCCACAAGATACCTAATGAAAATGAAAGAAAAAGCTTTGAAAATAACTCAAGCTAAAACGGCCCGCGATTTTCAAACAGCTGTAAGTATAGGAAATCAAAATACATTTAAAGGGATGATTTTGAAGTGGCAGGTGTTCTAAAGAGTGTTGTTTTTTAAATGACCACCATTGGGCTTTGTATTTAGAGTAATGAATTATTATATTTTAGATTGGCGCACCGGACACTAAGAAGTACAAGAAATTCCCGTCATTGAAGAGAATGATGGATAGAGGTTTACTGAAACCTGGTAAAAACAAACTAAGTATTATACGTAAGGTAAATTACATCAAATATTAATCCTCTCATATACTGTATGTAAATTTTAATCCTTCGACAATATTCCGAGATTGTTGTGACGAATAACATTTTACATTTTGGTTTTAGGGAGAGAGAGTGACAGCAACTTTGCTAAATTCTGGTATGATACTAGACGCTACTGGTCCGGGTTTCAGCACTGCCACCAAATGGTTTTCGGCTGTAACAGGAACACAACTGACAACGAAAGCCAAAGCTTATAGAATGGTTAGTCTGTTAAGCCCTAGCTTAAACTTTGTTTCCCAAATCATTTTTTTTAATTGTCTAATCACTCCTCAAGTCTTGTCTTGTCGAGTAGATCTGGTTTGGCATACCTGGTATTCAATTAGGGATTGGGTTTTATATTGCGCTGATACTGCTCATGATGCACAGTTTTGGAAAATTTTATCATCTTTATCAGTTTTAAAAGGAATTTTATTTTCTTTAGGTATGCTATGAGAATACACCCTTGATGGAGTTCAAGAAACAGTATGACAAATTAGGCAAGTATTCTGTGTCCTACACATAATTACAGGATCGATTCCTGGCGGTTGACTGTACCCCCTTAGAGTAATGTCATTACTCCAAGGCACCCCAAATAAGCTTTCAGCTTTCTTGCGTTCAGTCTTTGATGATATAGACTAACATTGTGCTGCGTTATAACTTTGGTGAATTGGCAGGACGTGATTACCCAATACCACACTAAGATGCACAGTGGGAGATACTTCAAATTGCTTAATGATCCAAAAAATCATGTAGCTTCCTATCTATTCTCTTAATGATTTTTGATAAGCCCGATCATTTAGCTGATTGATCACCGACGCAAAATTTTAAAGACAGATGCAAATTGTGTTTTTTTAACTCTTTCCTCTTTCAGAATTTAATAACGCATCTGCTCAAACGCATTCTGCATCAGATTTCAGACAGCAGTCCAGCGAAGCAAGCAGGTAATATACATTTGTGTACAGAAAAAAAAATTTTAAATTTAAGATTATAGAAAAGCTTAATCTTATTGGAATGAAAGCTATCTCTTAAACAAAAACATGTCTCCTTAGTTTGATCTCAGATATAAAAAATTGTGTGCGATTGTTTCATAGGACTTTTTTTAAATGTGTAGCTCTGCTGAGTAATTAATGTGTTTTCATTACAGTGTCAACCTAGTCACTTCCTCATCACAAACTAGAGGTAATGCAGGGACAACAATAACTGCATCACCACAGACCGCCTTCCAGACAAGCACTAACACAGCGGCAATGCCAGTTAGATATCAAATGACGCTTCCCCGTCCATCTAATCCTCGGTATCCTCATCGAATTCCAAACCAAGTTCGTTATTCAATTCGCACAAGATGTATCACACCAGTATCAATACCAAGGAATTTGATTCGTGTAACACCTGAATTTCCTTTGAATAGGTCATTAATTGGAAATCAAGACAAATTGGATCAAAGGAACCAGTTGATTCAAACCACCAGTTTAAGTGCTGACCAATCCAAGACAGCTGATGACGCTTCAATGATTCGACCACTTGATCCACAGTCGCTTTTGAAAGAAGAAATAAGATCCATGTTAATGAAGTCAGTTAATGCATTGTTAGTCAGTGATTCAGAACTGATATATTATCCAGACATCACAGAAGATTTCTGGGTGAAGCCTTTCAAGGATGTCGATATCTCAAAAGAGTTATGGAAAGAGGTTGACGCTTGGTGAACGCAATTTGGATTGGTACATTCATCATTCGTGTAATTAACTTGCAGCTCTCTCAGATGAATATTATTGTGAAAATATATCATAATTTCAATTGATTTCATAGGCAACCTAAACCCACGTTGGTACAAACGATCATCAGTAAGCAACCATAAAGCTCTATTAAGTTTTCCGTTTGTCATTTATTCAGAGAACGGTAGGAACCTGACATGGGAAGATCTGAGCTAAACAATTTAAATCTGACTATGAATATACATGTATACCGATTCGTTTCCTGGTTTATTTATTTGAGTTTATTTCATTATGTTCATTAATTATTCTTGTTCAATTGATCAGATATTTTTCTGTCGATATTTTATCAATATTAAGGAAATGATTATAAGAAGATCGACAAGATCGATTAACAAAAGCTACCTGCCTTCTTAACCAGAAATTCCCAATGCCTAAAAACTTAACAGCCTTATTTTCCATTACCAGTTTGCCACTACTGGGATATGTCTATCATTCTATTCATTGTCATCAAAAAATATCAGCAGCTATCATGTCATTAGACATCTGCCGCTATAGTTATCATCGGATATGTCTGCAGCTATCATTGTCATTAGACATTCCAGTCATTATCATAAGATGTGTCAATAGACACACTGGTCGTTGGCATAAGACATGCCGGTTGTCTTCATTATCATGAAACATGCCGGTTGTCTCCATTATTATACGACATGCCGGTTGTCTTCATTATCTTCAGACATGATTGTTGTCTCCATTTTCATCAGACATGCCGGTTGTCTTCATTAGCATAGGACATGCCGGTTGTCTTCATTATCATCAGACATGCCGATTGTCATCATTATCATCAGACATGCCAGTTGTCTTCATTATCATCAGATATGTCGATTGTCTTCATTATCATGAGACATGCCGGTTGTCTTCATTATCATCAGATATGCCGATTGTCGTCATTATCATCAGACGTGCCGGTTGTCTCCATTATCATGAGACATGCCGGTTCTCTTCATTATCATTAGACATATGCCGGTTGTCGTCACTATCATCAGACGTGCCGGTTGTCTCCATTATCATGAGACATGCCGGTTCTCTTCATTATCATTAGACATATGCCGGTTGTCGTCATTATCACAAGACATACCAATTGTCTTCATTATCATCAGACATGCCGGTTGTCGTCATTATTGAACTAGGATGCAATCTTAATTATCTTGATGCTTAAGTCAGCACTAATGAAAAGAGATTCATCATGTCACTGACTGACTGATAAATCCATATCTTCATACATACATTGTCATGTAAACATTAGACATGCTCTATCCCTGTCCACTTGAATAGGACTGGACAATGAATCAAAGACCACTCCATGATTTTATGACAATGTTATAATAGAACTCTAATTGAAAACTCTTGTAGTGTAGTGTGGAACATGTATTATCTGGAATAATCACCAACAATCGATGGTCCGTTTCATTTGCCAAACATAAATAATAAATAAGCATATTTTGTATATATAGCCGTACCGATTGTTTACTTTTCATATTTATTCTTATCAACTTGACACTCTTTTATTAAGAGTGATCGTCAACTTAATATTTAGTTGGTGCCTAACGATTGTTTATTTATCATATTAGATCATTAATTAAAGTGTTTTAGTTGATGTAGTATCTTCATCTCGACGCAAATTTTCGATCGGGAGGCAGTCTTATCAGCATTCCTGAATTTTTGAATTTTTGACTTGGTTCGCTTATAAACATGCGTTGTGCTGATGCGGAGTAGGCTCATCGAGCAGTCGATAGAAAACTACGGATTAGATAAGACCAGGACTGGCAGGAGCTGGGCTAAAAGAGGAACATGAAGAACATTGTTTTTCTTTTAGTTGGCTTTTCGATGATGGACTCCTCGTATACAAACAATTTCTGCACAGATCCAGACATTTTGAAAGCAGCTTTACTGAGGTCCGATATCCGACTCGAAGGAATGGTCTTTATGACGTACCATTCTGTGGGGTTCTTCCAGTGTCTACGGTATTGCCTGATCTCTTCGGATTGTTTCTCTATCAATTTCCAATCTGTGGACGGATACTGTGAACTTAATGTAGAAAAGGATGACATCTTCAATGGGACGTTGGTTACTGAATTTGGGTTTGGTTTAGTTAACAAAGAAGATATGCCAAAGGTAATTCTTTATCCTACACTATAGAAAAGAGAACGATAAACAAAACTGTATTTGATCATTCCAAATTTATTCAAATACTACAGGCTGCACACAAACATAATTCTATGTAGAAACTTATTTCAGGAAGCCAATTGATATTCTGCAAGACGATTCTACATGGTGCCGGCATTGATGTATCGCGATACAACACACTACGCCGCGATACACATATCGTATCGCGAGGTCGTGTAATGATACTTTACGATACCTTATTCGATAAAAATCGGCGAATGGAATCACGAATTTTCTCACTGACTTGACTGAATTTGTTGGAAACTATAAGACAGTGGACGTTAACCACTTCTATCAAATATCACAGTTATAGATTAAAAAATATTTAAACTTGGAAGATACCCCTTATCGTATCATATTGTGCGTGCTTACTAAAACATGAACCGACCAGAAAACGACCAACGAAATGCTTGAGTTTAATGTAGTTTCCTGTAGTTTCCCTGCTCGTACCATGTCGGTTCATGTTTTAGTAAGTACACATATTGTGGCATGCTTGGCGATACCAGCACTAATTCCAAAACTTATGATTGTGGTAATTTCATATTATTTGGAAAGGAACTAGCTGGACCGTGTAAAGATGTTGATTGTGGGTCACAAGCAGTTTGTGAACGAGACATCAATGGTAACCCTCAGTGCCAATCGAGACGTAAGTGTTTTTACATTATAATTACATAATACATTGCAATATAATTACATTCACGTGCATGCCGAAACATATATTCAATTTATGTTCCTTCTATGATTCCTCTGATGGAGTCTCATTCGGAATATCATATAAACGCATTGCATTGTGCATAATGCAAACATCTTTTCCAAGTTTTACATATTCGGCGCCATACTGAGCTTTTCCTAACGTAATATGACAATGTTTCATGATTGTAAAGAGGTTTTCTACGTTTTTGATGTGTATCGGGGACACTGTGATAGCATCAATTTTTACCATTCCAATTTTCAATCAGACGTTTGTGGTTTCTGAAATTCCATCAATACCATGTGTTTGATGACGATATTAATCGTGAAAGGCCTTATGTGATAAAGCATAATTTGCGATTAGTTACGTCATCGGTCATTTAGTTTTAGAGGAATTGCTGGAACCACAGATGACTGATTGTAAATTGTAATGATTCAAATTGATGCTATAAGTGGTCCCGTTACAGATAATTTTTTTTAGAAAACTTCTTTATAATCCATTGAGGCATTACCAATTGCATAGTGTTTTGAATATGTTAAAGTCTTTTCAGTTTTTGAAATATTGTATATTTTTAGCCATACCAAATATTGCTTTCGGTCGTCCTACTCAACAGAGTTCACATTTTGTATCAAACTACCACTGTTGTCAATCTAGTCATGGTGTGGACGGTGTTACTGGAGGTTATCTAGACAATGCTTGTGCTGTTACTGATTATAATGATTTTAGTCCTTGGTGGGAAGTTCGTTTTAATACCATCTATAATGTTACTGGTATAGAAATATACAGTGCCAATGATACGGAAGGTGGTAAGTTCGATAGCGCTTTTGGAAAAAATTGGTTTTGATCAATATTTTCCCTATTCGAACATAGTCATCTGGCAAATAAATTTACTGATAGTTATATGATTAATTATATAAAAAATTGGATGCTCGTTTCAGGGCAGTATACTAGTAGGTATAGTTCAAAAATGATGCACATGCACATGCGAGTACATACCATTGATTTAAGCTCAATTACCTTGTTTGGAAGTGCCCCTTTGTTGCTTTTAGTGGTACTGTAGGCCTTAAAGACTTTACATTGCGTATAACACAGTCGACAAAATCAAAAAATCAATCAAAATGTGAAACAGTATGTGAAAGCCACACATTGAGATGCCTTTGAAATACGTCAAGGGTGATCTTATATTATGTTCACAGTTTGAAGGTTTTTGCAATGTATTTGTTTTGCATTATTACTTACAAAAGATGTTCCTTTTATGAATAGTGCGATTAACAAAACTCGTTTCACTGCTCATTTTAATTCTCTAGTTGGAATGCTTCATGATTTTGGTATACTGGTATCAAGGAGAGCACCATTAATCGATGAAAACGCATGTTGTAGATTTGTTAAAGGAACATTGCCTTTTGGAAGATTTAAAATTAATTGTCTACGTCCAGTAAGTGGCGATCGTCTACGTATACACATGCAGAAGACGCAGATTCTTTTACTGTGCGAAGTAAAAGTGTTTACCGTTGAAGGTTCGTAACTGAGATTATCGCAACGAAAGTTTTAATTGCTTATACTAACAATTTCTCCTATTAACTTGGGCATAATATTAGAATTTAATTATGGTTGCAATGTTTATTTTCTATGGTGAGACTACACTAGAACTATAGTATGCCAGATAAAGTAGCTCTCAGAAACCAAATTTTACCTGTATATATCAAAAGGCTGTGTTATTTTTACCACAGGTTATGAAAGTTACAATTCAGCTTCTGCACCTACTTCTTGTTTAAAAAGATGTAAGTTTTTTTTCTCGAATAGCAATGGTGGCAAAGGGATGGATTGGATTGACCATTCAGAACATTGACAACAAATTCTTTGGCATGGAACATCATAAACACAAAGCGCTGTCTTGTTTTTGCTTCGTTCTATGTCCTGCAACACCATCCTTGGTGAATATGTCGTACATTGTTGACCTCGAACGCATTCACCAACGGTTTGGCTGGTTCCCTCGTGTCCCATTTTACACCACACAAGGTCCATCTTAGACCATATTTGTTGCCAGATAAACCAAACACAACCACAGAAGCGAAGCGTGCTAGTTCATCAACTGACAGCAGTGGCGCTTCTACGGGGGAAGGCCAGAAAAGATCACGGCTTTTCCCTCCCCCTACCTTTCCCTACTTTCATTTTTTTTATCATTATACATAGTGAAAGAATCGTCTGTGACCCAATGAAACATTTGGTAATCCCTGCTCAGCTCCCTCGCCTAATGCATTTCATATTGAAAGCGTGTGCTACTTTAAACGTGTTCTCTATAAAATGGCTATGTATGAAGATGATCATTGCGTCTGTTTTTGATTGTAGACGGATTCGGCATGTCGTCAGGTAAACCTGTAACTGCCAGTGGTATAATTTCTGGTGATGTGACGTACTTAGTAGACGGCAATAGAAACATGTTAGATATCAATGGTGCGCAGTGTGTCTCTGCTGCACCAACTAGTGGTTCTCGGTGGTTTGAGATTGATCTAGGGGCAAAGTATCCAATAGAGAGTGTAGTTGTGTACAATAAAGAAAAAACAAATGATATAGGTATGAATTTTGTTCTGTTTAGGTATCAATGTAACAAATTGCTTGGCCAAAACTCGAGTTCCAGAACTGATATCCAACTGCATATAGAAATCAAGATTAGTCATCCTACTGCTATGGGAGTTGCGTACCACATTTACGCTACCATAATCAGTGTGTTATCAAGCAGCGATAAGGTAACGTAAGATATATGGTGTTTTTGGTATCTTTCAGGTAACATGAGATATATGGTGTTTTTTTGGAAGATAGGCTACCCTAGCCCCTAAAAAGTATCGGCTTCTATTCTGATGGTTTTTAGCTCATGTAAAATAGTCTAAAAATATTTCATTTCAGATACAACGTTAACCAATTTAACAATAAGATCTTATGTTCTTACGCCAACATATTCCATCACGACCTGTGCTACATATGAAGAAAATTTTGGTTCTACGAGTAGAATATTTGAGTGTGAACCAGTTGTTGAGGGACGATACGTACTAATTACCTCTACTGGCCCTAATCTTCATTTATGTGAAGTCGAAGTTACCATTATTTGATACATGAACCTTAAAGCTATCATGCTCTATCTAAGCTCGAAGTCGAACATTACGTGATATTTAAAGATATACTTCCTCTTAAAATGCACATGAAATTCTAGTTCTGAAACTTGGCGAACAAGAGTATTTATTCGTTAGTGAACTTACCAGGTGTCATAAATATACATAATCCCTTTATAATCCTTTAAATCTATAAAACAACGTAACAATTGAAAAACGCTTTAAGCCAAGTGTGTAAATCTGAATTCTAAAGGTAGCATTCCTTTAATATAGTAGTCACATGTGAAATGTAAGATAGATATGATTATTTTTCATGATTTATAATTCGCGTTCAGGAATGGTTTTGTTTTTAATTGGAGTAAAATCTGCTCTGGATAAAAGCAATAAAATAAATATCTATAGCCATTTTTGTTTTTCTTTTACAACTTTACCAGCATGTCCATTCCTTTTTTATTGGACAGATATTCTACCCTCCCCTTAAGGGATTCTGTCTACGACACCAGACACCAGCTATATGAAATCACATTAAATCGTAGGATTTAGCTACCACCAAGACATCGAAAGGGGTTGATGTTATAACAGCCCGATCTAGTAGAACTAGGTTCAGTTTAGATAATAAGCTAAGCGGCGACATCATCAAAATTTAATTAAGTATCATTTGGAATACAACAAAACCGATATCGTTTTCTGCATTTCTTTAAAAGATGATTGGCGTCACAGACTATTCCTCCAATTTAAATCATTTCTGGCTTATGTGTGGAATTATGTGATCTAGGCAATTTTCTAGCGTTTATTATCCGGGCCTTTTTCATTGGGCGCCTATTTTTTCGCAATTATTTACTTTTAAACCATTGTGGTTGGTAAATACAAACCAATATGTAATAACATTCACTGGCACGCATTGGCCACCGTAACCGCTATTGAGAATAATCTCGTTTATCTAGTCTCATTAGTTTGTTGAAATATAGGCCTATAGGATAGTTCAGCTGGATATCTGAGTCTACAGTTTGTTGATTTCCTGCTAATTAGAGAATAACCAGAATAATTTAAGGACAGGTTGGTTGTCATTTATTTATGCTTTTTACTTAGAAAACATTATCTCTTTTACTTTATAAAAAGGAACCTTTGCCATGAGTCTAACTTTTGAATAAACAAGTAAAAATAATTTATCCATTTTGATAAGTTATCAAAGGGTTTGACTAAACACGAAAATACGTCAGACTTAACAAAAAAGAATCTAAATACCGTGACATTTAAAACAAATCCGTCAAATGTTATCTATTTTGTAACCGATGTCTTTCCGATCATTATCAGAATAGCTGCTGTCTGACTCTAAAGAGTGGTGATCCTTGTCTAAAAAATCCAGGCATTTCCAATCGAAATTGTGTCTTTTTGAACTTTTTGCACTACAGATATAACTTTTTCTCTTGTCGTATCTCCTTTAACATTCATATCTCATGTTCAATTCTATGTTTTTTAAAGTTTAATTCTTTATCATTTGTTTATCACCATTATCATCAGTTGCTGAACCAAAAGTTTAGTAGAAAATGAGTAACAGTGAAGAAGAAGAAGATCCTAATCTTCCAAGTCAAGCTGAATGTTTAGAAAGATGTATTCAGTTTGCTGAGTTAACTGGTAGTGACAGGGCTCTAGCTATGTTTTATTTGCAAGACAGAGATTGGGATTTACAGGTAGGCCTATTTCTAGCTTGACAAATCTGGTGTCTCCTAGTTCCTCAGATGTTAATTTTTGGATATGATATTGTCATGGGTAGGTAGTTCCTGTTGTTTTAAATAAACTGGATCAGATTACAGTTATGACAACACTATCTGAAATACATGTTGGCTCTAAATGATATTATAGGAAGATGGAAATTCCAGATCCTAATCATTCCTTGTTGAGACTTTGAGTATTCTCCAATGTAGATTACACCAAGGATGTATTTATATGGGTAGGCCTAGTACAGGTATCCGCAAATTGTTGTGGAATCACCCTGTTTTGTGGATGGTCATATGAATAACTGAGATTATAATCAGCTGTTAAAGTAGATATCATAGAATTATATTTACCAGAAATATAAATTATTTCATAGAAAGGAAGTCAATCAGGAATGTGAGTTAACATTGGGAAAATAGCCAAGAGTTTCTTAGCAAAACAATGGAATGACTATTTTTTTTATGTATGTATTGTAGAGATCTGTAAATGATTATTTTGAAGACAATGGTGCCAGTTCTCCATCCTCAAAGCTACAGACCACAGTTCCTCAAGGAGCTAGCTTAGTTACAACTTCAAACACAGAAATCAAGTGGGTGTTTACATCACCCTGTCTATCAGACAATGCAATTACTAAATCGATAATTTAATATGAATGCTTTTGATTGAGTATAAAATTTTATGCTAGGCAGTTGTAATACTTTTATAGGCTCTAGCTTCGAAATCTTTTGACACTGTAAGACCATTTATTATACACCTACCTGGAAATGTGGTTTCAGAGTTATTGCCCTTGTGTGTAAAACGATGAGACATTGTTCATGTTTGAATTTTTGTTTGCTTTGACTTAGAGGACAATAAATACTTTGTTATCATTTCTGACACCCGGTAGTGGACGTATGTCACCTTGCCTGGCAATCTATATCTTATATGATGTGAATATCAGAAGCAGACCTAATCCTTGATTGCTGACTTAAACTTTGTTTTATAACTTTGTCTAAATAGTCAGATATCCACCAAGTATATTATTTTACTTATCTAAACCTATAACTGTGTATTATAGAGATGATGAACCCCACAGAATAAGACTGTTATCTTGGAATATAGATGGTTTGGATCATCAGAATTTAGAATCCAGAACGAAAGCTGTATGTCAATTGATAGAGAAGTAAGTAGAAGGGCAATTGTGTATAATATTTTTTAAAACTATACTATATTGGACTTGATATGGTGAAAATTCAAAATATTTTTACTTCCTTTCATAATGTAATGCTGAAAAGTAAGAAAAAGGAAAAAACTATAAATAGTAGTAATAATTTTGTCCTATCTGTCATACAGTTTCAAAGGAAAAGTAATTGACCCCAAATAGATTGCCTTTGATGTCTGGTGTCCCTTCACCAAATCTTTTGTTTCAGAGAGAATCCCCATGTTGTGTTTCTCCAAGAAGTTGTTCCTGCTACAGAACAAATGATCAGAACTAGCTGTAAAAATTATAAGATCTCATCTGCACATCAATTGTGTGATTATTATTCTATGATTTTACTTCATGACAAGTTTACTAGTAATATCAACCAGGCACAAATCTTTCCTTATCCAAATACCAATATTAATAACCATGATAATAATAATATTAACCATGATAATAATATTAATAACCATGATAATAATAAAATTAAGCCATTGATCATAATTTTAACATGATAATAGTATTAACCATGATATTATTATTAATAAGCATGATAATAATATTAGTAACGTTAATAATAATAATAATATTTACCATGATATTATTAATAACCATAATAATAATATTAATAAGGTTGATAATAGTAATATTTATAACGTTAATAATAATAATATTAAAAACGTTAATAATAATAATATTAGCCATGATAAAATAATATTTACCATGATATTAACCATGATAATAGAATTAGATACATATACATGTATTCTTTTTATCTTTGTCTTTTTTGATTAACTCCATTCATCTTTCAAAATTCTTTCATTTGTCAGAACAAAATCTTTTCATTCTCTTCAAAATAATAATTCATTAATTTTTTTAATCAGGCACAAGTCAAAGGAGTGAAATTCAAATTTATGACATCTCATCTTGAAAGTTGTAAAGAACACAGTGAAAAGAGAATAGCACAGCTAAAATTGGCATTCGAGAGGATGAAAAGTTCAGATACTAACTCAACAGTTATATTTGGTGGCGATTTAAACCTGAGAGATCCCGAGGTAGTATTTTTTTATTTTGGTGTCACCCATGTCTTTCTGTCCACAATTGCTCAAAAACTCTATTAAACCCTATTGAGATTTCAAATATTCCAACACGCTGTTATCGTGCATTTTAGATGTAATTTTGCCTTCACTAGAATACTTTTTTTTTTGTTAAACTTGCATATGCATGGTTAAAGAATTTAAGAACTGGATCTTCGATTTTCAGATTGGCAAGGCAAATGGTATACCCGAGAATGTGAAAGATCTATGGGAGGTGACTGGAAAACGACCTGAAGCTAAGTTTACGTGGGACATGATTCGGAATGATAACCTTGAATTTGGTGGCAAGTTTAAACCAAAATGTCGATTTGATAGACTATATTATAAGGAGTCTATCCCTAAGACTGTGAAACCAGTGTATTTTGAACTTGTTGGTTTAGAGAGATTGAAAAGCTGTCAGAGATTTGCTAGTGATCATTGGGGACTTCTAACCCACTTTGACAAAGTGTGAACAAATTCCAGATAAAAGTGAATGTTAGCTTTATATAATAAATCATTCCTTCTCCCTATTTTAAAGATGGTTTTCTGCAATTTTAATGTCAAATTAAGCAAACTGCGTAATTAATTGGCGATTCTAATGAATTATCATGTATTCTTAATCATTAAGACAAAGGCAGGGATAATTTGCATTGTGAAAAAGATTGACTATGGGACCTCTTGAGGCCAAAGTCTATCATTACAGGGGATAATTTCAGCTATCCATTTCAAATTTCAAAATTGAAATCCTACATAGGATTAGGTACTCACTACTACAAAAGATCCTTTGAATTCCTGTTCATTTTCTCATTGTTGTAGCAAATCAAAGAAACACAGTATTTCATGATTATAAAATTTAATTTTAACAATTCTTTGATCTAGCAAATAGCAATAGCACATTGAGATATTATGCAACAATAAAATGGAAAAAACACACCTGAAGACAATATACAATGAAAATTAGATATTTCAAGAATAAACAAGCTCTGTCATAGAGTATAACATTATAACATAGAGGGCAACACAGATTTTACATTTGACAGATGTCGCCCTGCTTGAATTAGAAAAACTAAACCTAACTTCAGGGGAAGAAAATGACATCATAATCTACTTATACCATCAAAGAATTACTTTTATAGGTCATTTAGGATATGGTATCAAATGTTTAGTTCAATAGAAGGAATTTGGTTACATAGTCTCAAAATGATCTTAGCACTAGTTTATCCTACAGTGTTAGAAGTAAGACCTTAGGAGATGGTAGGGTTAATATCATTTCAAAAGAAACACAGCCAGACTTTCTTAACAAACATAAAATTGTACGTTCATCAGTTTGTGCTTTACTGAAAGCTGTTTATGGACATTCCAAATAGTTGATTTTGAATTTGAACAAATGGATTAAATTTAAAATATACAATTCTAAAAAATCCCATTAACCAACAACAAAACAACTTTTTAAAAAAGTCAATACTTCAGACAAGAAATGGGTCTCCAAATCAAAAACCACACTAAAGGGACAGATTCGCCATCTGTTTAACCAATTGTACTGCCATATATACAAATGACATAGAAATAGAATTTAAAACACCTTGTTCGAGATATTTTTGACAGAATTATGCAATTTAGTACATTTTAGCACTACTGAAGATTATTTGCATATATTAAAGACTCAAATCAACCCCAAAAAGTGGCAAATCTGTCCCTTTAAATGTAATTTTAGTAATAAATGCAAACACTGTTGCCAGACTTTTCTCAAAGTAATCCAGAATTGCCAAAATATTTGCTTGTCAGTAACTTTTATGTTTTTGAAAAACAAATTTGGATTTCATAAGCTGGCATCATCCAAGTTCCATAAGTTTTAGTGAGCTAATAAAAGTTTTTCAGCAATTTCCAGAGGAACTTTTGACAAATCTACATCTTGGACATGAGCTGAATTCAACAGATGTTCAAATTCATGGAGTGACATTTCGAAAAAGTTTTTCAATTTAACTTTTGAACTGAAATCTACACAATGGCCAAGTCTTGGACTTTTTAAATCAATGATTGAACCTGTAAGTGTCTTATTAGGATGAGCAGATTTTAAATGTAGTTTTACCACAGTGCTTTGATTCGCCTCGAAGGAACAATAGGCGCACACGAACTGTTTCAATGTCGCATGAGTTTTGACGTGATCGTATATTTTAGCAACTGAATCAGAAACAAATGTACAATTTCGACATCTTACAATATTTGATTCGGATGGTTTGAGCTTTTTAAATATGTTTCCATGGCAACTGATATGTTCTGAATATTCTGACAGGCTTTTGGATATCTCAGGACATACTGGACATCTGAAGGAGAGGTATTTTGGGCCTGTAAAAAAAAAAAATGAGATGAATAAAAGGTCAAGCTCTGATTAGGAAGTGTGTTAACCCAAAAATTTAGCTGAAAATCTGGAATTTTATTCACTAAAAGACAAACACTTTTGTAAATATCAATATTCAAGGTTTTTTTTTAGTATTTTGGATATTTCCAGAATAATTTGAAGGATGAAATTTTGTATATACTTAAACTCCAAATGGTGACTGTTTGATGAAGAATTAATCAATTTCTTGGTATTTAAACATTGTTTAAAAAATATAAGATCTTTTTTTTACACCTTAATTTTGAATAAGTAAAATGATTATATGCCTTAAAAAAGGCCAATCCCTGGCACGAAAATTTTGTTGTTCTTCTAAGCCTTATTTTGAGGGGATGAGACAAGAAATTTTGTGTTATCATTGTGTTACACACCTGAAGATGTTGAAGGAGTTTCATCTCGAGAATAACATAACTCCATTGTTCTATTTAAATACTTCTTTTGATGATTAGCTCTCTGATGATTATATAATAGTTCTCTGAAATCAGATATGCATATTTTTAAAATTGATGTTGTATAACAGAGCATAGCTTATACTTGATTCTCATAAACAGAGCATAGCCAGCATATGATACTCGATTCAGTTCCACTTTTCAAAATGAAATTTAAAGCCAGATATATATAGTTTACTTAGGATGAATGACAAAAGTTAAATTGATTTCTTGCCGAATGCTTAATAGCTTGTAAAGCAGTTTCTTTGATGATAAATAAAATGATTCAATTTGAATAAAACTTACTTGTTATTTGTTCGGAAGTCACAGGCTCGACACAAGAAGACATCAAATTTGCTAAGATCTACAATTTTTGGACTGTTTTTACACATTGTACCAAGAAAATTAAAAACACAACCAGTTATCTTGTCTTTCCAGAAAGTATTGATACCACAAGTTAGTCTATGGAAACTTTTATAATGCACACCCAAGGAAGACAAAGTTTGAAATTTCAGTGGACACCTCATACACATGAAGTTTGAATTGGGCTCGGGTTCTTCTTTTAAAGTTCCTTCTTGGAGACAATCCAACAATTCATCATTCAGCGCCTTATGTACCATGTCCAGATTTTTCTTGTTGTCTATCGAGGAATGAACATTTTTAAAATGGTGTTTTCTATGCACAATTTCAGGTACAGGAACAGAACAAACTGAGCAAACAATATGAGGTTTCAGCTTCTCTAGATGTTGAAGAAGATGATCTCGCATGGCATTGTCAACATCGCTTTTCAAATGACAGTATGTACATTCGAATTTGAACTGTTTATTAATGCTGTTACAGGCTAACATTGAGGTTGGAGCATCTTCTGGTTTAATTATTTTAAAGAAATTTATCACAGGTAACAGATTCGACTTTTGTGGTTGGTCCTGATGACATAATCTATTATGTTTCTTACTGCCTGAATCATCAAAAGATCGTACACCACAAGTAGAACATTCAATAATTTTCTCGTAGTTATGACTTTTAAAATGACTAAGCATTGCATCCAGATCAACATCAGTATAAAAACTACATTGTGGACATTTGTATAATTGTTCTACTGGCTTTTTAGGTTTTTGTTTTACTGGTTTCTTAGATTTTTTAGGATTCAAAACATCAGGTTCATCAGAGGATTTACGCTTTATGGATTTGTCTGTTTGGTTAGGTGTCTCAGTTGAAGAAGTAACAGTTGCCTGCTTGTAAATAACCATGATATTGGGTTCAAGACCAAAATGTGATGAGTTGGCATGTATTTTAGCCTTGATAATATATTTGAAAGTTTCTTGACAGTGCTCACACCTATAGCGTTTTATATTTGAAGAACTGGAACTAGACGCTGATGATGTATCTACAGAATTATCATTTGCTTCTTTAACCACAGGAAGTTTCAGGTTTAGTTTATTTTTCTTGATGTATAGAGTTACTGCCTCACTGATATCCACATCAGCGTCGTGCACCTTAATGCCTTCTTTTGGGTGGAATTTGGAAATGTGCTGGTGAATCTTAAACTTCTCAAGAGCTCTCCATTTACAATAGCCACATTTGTATAGTCTCAGTTTTAAGTGGATGAGATTCAAATGATGGTGAATCCAATAGCGAGTAACAGCTGGGAACCATTCCTTACACACATGACATTGATGTCGGTTATCTTCTGTTTTGTACAGCACTGATAATGAAGAATCAAGATATTCTGAACCCAAGAGGCATATATTTTTGTCTGTTGCTGATGTTATCTTATCTGCTTCAGTTGGTGGTAGCTGCTGTGTATTTTTTGGTTTTGGTAAAGATATGGGATCATCTGCTGTACCTTCAGTGTTTCTGACAGTTTTTGGCTTTTTCAACTCTGCTGCTTTGATCTGTTCTGTTGATTCCTTTCTTTTCCTACCTCTTTTCTTGAGTTCCACGGAAGGTAATTCAACTGAAGGTTTGATGCTGCATTTATCAATTTTTGGATTTTGTTGAACATCATTAAAACTCTTTGCTTTCTGTGATTCATTTGGTTTGTTTTGCTTGGATTGCTTTTGTTGGCATTCCCTTACCCTTCTCTCTGTTACAGATACATCTTCACTTTCATTTTCATCATCTTTAGGCTTTTGATTGGTCTTTTTTGGTTTCGTATTACGAATTTGCTTAATCACCTCCTCAATTTTATCTGAATAAATAATATTGAAATAAAGACAATTGTGAGAATGTCTACCATGTTTCTGCATCCTCCATATCATTGAGCTTGAAAATTGACACATGAAACAGCTGTATTGTAATCTAACATGTTTCGTCAATAGATGTTTTATCATCTGGACTTGTTCCTGTTTATGAATTTTGCAAATTTTACACTTGTAACTTTCCTTTCCAACAAAATATACAGGCTTCAATCTCGTTTCTAGTAAATGAAAGTTTTCTTGATCATCTGGACCATCTGTAGGGATATAAATATGACTGCTTTTCTTCAGTGTATTGATGTCTGAAAAAGGTCTATCTGGAGATCTTTGCGCAAGTTCAGTAGCAATTGATATATCTGAATGAGTCTTAATATGCTCATGTAATATTTTCGAATCTGTTGTGCAGAAAGTGCAATTTTCTTCAGGACAGTTCAGCATTTTTGTTTGAGCAAGAATAATTTCACTGGATGAGTCAGCACTTGTATAGCCTTTTGAATGGACTGCTCCCACATTTCCATTATGAACTCTTTCAATGTGACAGGTTAGATATCCACGACAAGCGCTCTTGAAGGGACACCTTGGACAGCAAATGACTTGGGATTTGTAGGTAACTTGTCTGTAATCAAACATATCTTCTGGTTTATCAGAGAGAACATGCTGACCATCATGTATATGCTGCAAGATCTTTTGATAAACATTAGTACAATAGTTGTCAATTTTGCAAGTGAAGAAATAAACAGACATTTGAGTTTCAGCATGCTTCATCACATGATCAGTCAGATGTTTTGGACTATCAAAGGGAACTGCACAAAAAGGACAAATAAAAGCCCCATCTTTTTGTATCTGTGTATGTACTTCTCCATGAGACTTAAGTTCAGCTGCATTAACGCCATAAAAAGAACACAATTTACAGTTTAATTCTTCATCTGCCACTATTGTTGAAGTAGGATTAGACTTTTGTGTTTCTAAATTAAATTTTGAGTAGTAATTATACAATTGCCGATCCCTGCAAACCAACTGTTTACCAATTGTCCATTCTTGAGGTATGGCACCATCATGATAGCTTTCAATATGCTCTTTCATCTTCTCACTATTAGTAGCAACAGCAGAGCAATACGGACAGGAGTAAATAAAGAGAAGATTCAATTTCAAATGTTGACCAAGTTCCTTTAAGCTGTCCATGGTCTCTGCACACTCGTGACACTCAAATTGTTTTAAATTGTGAGTCTCCAAGTGAGAAAGGAACCCTTCCAAATTATTGCATCTATATTCACAGTTATTATCTATACATTGAAAAACTGGCATATTTAATGAATTGTAATTGGTGTGGTGCAGAAAGTGTTTCAGAAGCTGGTCAATCCTAAGACCAACAAAGCCACAGTGCTTGCAGGTGAAGTTCTTCTCAAAGCAATGTTTGATTAACAAATGCTTCCTTAAATCTTCCATTATCAAAGTTGAATACGTACATGATCCACAGGCATAAAAATTTGGATTAAAATATTCCTGGCCATTCGAGGTTAATGTTTCAATTTCTGGTTTGATGCCTGGTGGAAATTCTGAAACCTTTTCTTCTGAAGCAAGAGAATAAGCACTCAGAATCAGAGGACCGGCAGCATCAATAGCATAACCAGATTCTTGAGTATCATTACATTCCACCTTAAATTTCACATCCAATTCTGCAGGTTCAGAATCCTGGTTTTCTTTCACTATTGTCACAGACTCATTGGAATCACATGCAGAGTTCCCAGTTTGTTTCAAAGCATCTAACTGACTTGAAAGAAACTTATTTTCAACATAATCCTTTGGTAAATTTCTTGAGCGGATAAATACTATAAGTCTTGAATACTCCTCAACAGAATCAAAAATATTTAGTTGATATTTAACAATGCTGATTTCTTTTCCAGAATGCTTATTTAGAGAGTGACTCCTGATCTTATGCTCCTTATTGGCATTAAAATCACAATATCCACACTGAACCAAAGGTATCTTCATGTGTTGCACTAAAATATGTTCATACAAATCTATCAATTGATTCAAAGCAAAAGACCCACTTTTACAAATCAAACACATAAACTCATTTCTATGCACACAAAAAAAACGGCTAATTGCGTTTGAAACATTTGGTTCTGTCAAAATGCTTCTTATTATGCCTTCTGGAAAAGTACATTTTATGAACAAGTTATGTTCAGGATTCAAAACTAGTATTTGTTGTGGATTTATGTCTGTTGTAGAAGCTGAAGCCATTTCTGAACTAAACTCTGAAGTCGAAGGAGTACTAAAAGAAACATCTGAAACCGTGACATCAGCTTTATCAATTATAACTTCTGCTTCATCTTCTTCCAAAGACTCTTCAGCTTTAGCATTGGTGGTTATCTGAAAATTGGATGCAGTTAATGAAGCAGATGAATCATTCAAGGGCTCTTCAGATTCCTCATCAATGTTTATGATGTTTAGGTTGGCATCAGTTTCTCCTGGTCCAGGAGTGTCATCTATTATGATGATATCATGGTCTTCTTGTGGACGATTATCTGGATCATTTGATGTAATAATCATGTCTTCTTCCAATCTAGTAAATTCCTCCGTTTCTACAACCTGGTTTGTTAGATGGAAATCTGGAATATCCATTTCTTTATCCACCATTGAACATTTCATTCCAGGAAAGCCATCAATTTTTTTACACTTTTGACACAGTTGTCTATCTTTATGATAATGAGTCCAGACATGAAGCCAAAATGTTTGCTTGTTAGTCCACTGTTTAGAACAAATGTAACAGACAAATAGTGTTTCATTTTTCTTTTTTATCATTCCAAATTTCTGTCCTGATTCAGCAACACTACTAGATGTCATTGCACCAGAATCCATAGCTTGAGCAGTAAGACCTGCCATACCTAACTTCAGATAGTAATACTGTTCTTCATTTTTTCGGATTTTAGAAACAAGTTTTTCCACTAATGGGCAGACGATATAACGTGTACCAGCTGCTCCCATTATCGAACAAGCAGGACAGATAATGGAAGAATGAGAGTGTTGCCAAACATGCCACTTCAGATTACTCAATTGAGGTAAGTCCACATTACAATCCAAGCATTTATAAGATGGAATGTTATTGGTTTTACAAAATGCAACTTGATTTAGAGCAAGGTCTTTAAGAGCACCAGCACTTTCTGCTGCTTGCTTTACTTTGGTGAAACTAGCAAATGCAAGTTTTCTAAAAAGTCTTATAGTCTTCATGCAAGAAACTCCACTTTCACCAGTCTTCTGGTCACACTCACTGCATTTCTGTTCGTTTTCATGTTGATGATGCCAGATATGAAAGCAAAAATGTGATCGACTTTCCCATTCTTTCTTACAAAATGTGCAAGAATATTTGACACCACACGAACTGAAATGAAATTTGAAAAGACCTGGCTGACCCATATTTTTAAACAATCCAACAGGATGTGGTGCCCCAATCATTGGATCTTGCAGAGAGGAAACATTGTCTTTCTGATGAATGACAACATCATCATCATCATCATCATCAATTATGATAACATCTTCCTGTACTTTTTGGTTCATACAGGTTACAACTCGGGAAGCAGACTGCATGGATGATTGAATTTTAGATGTTCGTTTGACTAATAACTCTTTTAACTGTTTGGTGGCTGATGTTACAAAATTTTTTGAGTTCAATAAGCTAACAGATTTACAAGCCAATGGCTTAGGAGTGGTGTTGATTGATGACCTGGAAGTGATACTGGTTGTTGAACTGACAGTGTTACCAATTGATAGGCTAGGAGCTTCACTGGATAATGAAATTGAATTTGATGAACTTGGAATTTCAATGAATGATAAACTGTGAAATTTGCTGGTTGATAAAGTGGCAATGTCACTGGTTGATGGACTGGAAATCTTACTGGTTGATGGACTGGAAATCTTACTGGTTGATAGACTGGAAATCTTACTGGTTGATGGACTGGAAATCTTACTGGTTGATGGACTGGAAATCTTACTGGTTGATAGACTGGAAATCTTACTGGTTGATGGACTGGAAATCTTACTGGTTGATGAGCTGGAAATCTTACTGGTTGATGGTCTGGAAACCTTACTGGTTGGTGGACTAGAAATCTTACTGGTTGATGGTCTGGGAGTGCTAGTGGTTGATGGATCATGAGGTTTATTCAAAGAAGTGTTTAGGGAAGGATTCTTAGGTGGTCCAGATTCTGTTTTGTTGTTCACTCCATCCAATGATTTTGATTTGTTTTTATCAAAATGTTGTGTGTATGAGCCATTTTTACGTGCTTTGTCTAAGATGTTTTGAGTAAACTTCAAGCCATTAACATAAAATCTCATTTCATCTTTTGGATGGACAGCAGTCAAATGCTTCATTATTTCCTTTCTGGTAGAAAACACCTCTTTGCACAAGGAACACCTGTATGGCTTGGGAATCATATGGGTGACTAAATGTTCATGAAAAGTTTTCAGTTTGTGGTAAATGTGGCCACATGTACAACTGAAAATATTACCATCTGAATGATAAGTAACCGTAAAGTTAATCCTTGTAGGTGGTTTACAATTGTGCAAGACATAATCCGAGTATTGTATGGACTCATACACACATCTGTTACACCTGTAGATCTTGTTAACTGTTGGTTGTGAAACTCTTCTTGGTTTTCTCTTAGTTTTTCTGTCAGTGACTTGTTTTTTGGATCCTTCGTCAGTGGCTGTTTCCTTCTTCCAATCACCATCACTCTTACTATGTAATGGTTCTGAAGTAGACGTACCCTCATCATCAATCTTATTTGTTAGTTGTTGTGGAGCAGATGAATCATAGACAACTAATCCTAAAATAAAAAAAGAAAGGCGTAAAACATGGAATTGTCATGAAAAATATGGTATGTTTAAAGTTTGTAAATCAGTCGAGATACAGGCAGAACTTCTAAAATCTAACTGCCATGTCCAAACTAGCTGCCTAGCTCTAGCTAGATGAGAGAATATAAAATATAGGAGAATCAAAATCAATCAAAATCTGAGTTTTGTTTTGGAGAGTGATTTAAGTAGTTGAATTCAGTAACATCACAGTTTCTGGTTCAGAAACAGGTAGGACAAAAATTTATCCTAAAATATATCTACCATTAAACTGAGCTTTATCATTGTCACATTCATAAATATCAGGACATCCATCACTTTCACATTCCATGACCAGTCTAGGTTCATCTCCTTCATCATCACTGTCCTCATCTTCATCATCCCTTTTCACTTGATCCTCCTCCTTTTTATCTTCAGTATTGTCCTTTTGCTGGTCTTCAGTAGACTCCTTTACTTCATTCTCCTTGCTTTCCTGACCCTGAGAGTTGTTAATTTTCACCTCCTCAATTTGATGTTCTTCAGTATTAGTATCATTTTTGAATACTTGGTGCTTATCATTTTCCTGATCGTCTGTGTTTTCACTGAATTGAACCTCTTCACTTTCCCTGTCAGAGATACTGATATTGTTTTTATATACTTGGTATTTATCCCTTTCTTGGTCTTCAGTATTACCAATTACTTGAAACTCCTCATTTTCCTGATCTTCTGTGTTTTCAATGACTTGAACCTCTTCACTTTCCCTATCAGAGATACTGATATTGTTTTTATATACTTGGTATTTATCCCTTTCTTGGTCTTCAGTATTATCAATTACTTGAAACTCTTGATTTTCCTGGTCTTCAGTATTCTTAATTACTTGAAACTCCTCATTTTCCTGATCGTCTGTGTTTTCAATGAATTGAACCTCATCACTTTCCCTGTCAGAGATACTGATATTGTTTTTATATACTTGGTATTTATCCCTTTCTTGGTCTTCAGTATTATCAATTACTTGAAACTCTTGATTTTCCTGGTCTTCAATATTCTTAATTACTTGAAACTCCTCATTTTCCTGATCGTCTGTGTTTTCAATGAATTGAACCTCTTCACTTTCCCTGTCTGAGATACTGATATTGTTTTTATATACTTGGTATTTATCCCTTTCTTGGTCTTCAGTATTATCAATTACTTGAAACTCCTCATTTTCCTGGTCTTCAGTATTCTTAATTACTTGAAACTCTTCATCTTCCTGGTCTTCAGCATTCTTAATTACCTGATTCTCTACATCCTGGTCTTTGGTATCCTTGCTATTTACACCATTTTCATTTCCAGGTTCTCCGTTGTCAATGACTATTACTGGCTGAGATTCATCCTTTCTTAAATGTGTAACTGGGTCCATGCTTTACCATCCTGAAAAAAAAATACATAAGATTCAAGCTAAGTTTAGTTGACAAACTTGATGAGATAGAGCTGTCAAAAGCTTTAAATAATTTAAAAAGGCCATAGTCAAGTCCCCAAGATAACAGTGCAATATTTTAGTTGCCATGGTTTTAATTCTCTTAATTGTGTATATGCTTCCAAAAAAGTGAAAGTATTAAAAATGCTATATATGATTTAAATGTTATCTTAGTATCAAATGCAATATTTTGCTTCAGCAGTGCTGGTCGGATTAAGTGTTAAAACTCCTATATACCACTCGACTTTAGAAGCTATCTGAAATTTGAAACAATTCTAATAAATATTTGGAATTGATTTTTTACAGATTATTAATGCCATTGGAGTTCTCTTTTCATCAATATATGATAGATAATATCCATAGACATATTCTTTAAAAAGTTAAATTTTAAAAATTGTACTGCAGTCTAGAGTTCAAATTAGCCTACTAATGTCAATATGCTTGTCATTATCAGAATGTACTCTTTTTTGGTGATATGTGACAAGGATGGTTGAATACAAGATTTCAAATTATTAATTTGGTAAAATGTATGGGATATAGACATAAAATTTTGTCGTCTAAATTGTTTTTTAACACCAGTACTTCTGTTTTTACTTTATCAGTAATCAGACATCAAGCCATTGCCAAATATTCTACAATTTCCCTGTGCCCCCAAGGAGATACCAAAATACAGTCAAGGGGTAGGCTTTATTTATGGTGTATGCAAACGAGAAAATGCTACCCTTTGGCTTTTTTGTGTTACTGGGTAGGACACAATATTGTAGAAATCAGCAATATGTTAATGGACTCATTAATAGTTCAGCTTTATAAGAAAAAAGAATTTTAACATGGTAGAAATCCTCAAAAAACTAGTGACCCAAAAGTGGGTTGGAGCAACTCCCATAATTAGCATGATTCAATTCAAGTGGTATCGCATTGCAGTTTGCTGGTCAAAATGACTCCTTTTGCGATTCATCATTTTCTATGATTAGCCAAAATTAAAATTTATAACGATTACCTGTGAATGAAATAAAATTGTATACAATTTCAAGGAAAATTTTCGAAGAATGAGCAAGGCAAGAAGAAATTAAATTGTAAATAATTGGTCAAGTAAATAATTAAAAAATACCGAAATATTGCCATGTCGTGATATATGGTAACCCAAACAGTTCTGTACAAGGCGGTAAATTCATATAATTATCATTCATAAGGTTTTATCACAGGAATAGGAAATTTTATCAATAATGAGGTAGCGGTATATAGGGTAATCACCAGGAGTGCAACATATTTTGGGGGATTGACTTAAATGATGATTAAATCTATATCTTAACGTAAATCAACACTTTAGGTTGTTCTAATTTCATAAATATAGTGTTTTCTTTCACTTACCACGGCTTTTGTGGTCAAAATTATTAATTATCATAATTATTATCTTTTTTTATAAATTTGGAAACTATAGTAATATATTGCCTAAAAAGTTTTAATTGTTTGTTGTATTTATTTTGCCTGGGTGAAAAATGCACAAGGGAGGTAACTCTACCAGAGATGTCAATTGTTCAGGTAATACTAGCCATAAAATTCACTGTGGACTGTACTTCCGGTTTTACTGATCATGGATTCTCAGATGGGGGGGTTGTTATGAGTAAAAATTCTCAAAATTGGTCAAAAACTGCTACAAGAGCCGCAGTAAGTGAAAGAAAACACTATAAGCTTATTAATGAAGTTAAAACAACCTAGAGTAGTATTCGACATTTCATTCCATGCTGATCTACATTAAGTAATTTATTGGTGTCTTGATCTTTCGCCGTAGGCGAACCACCTCTGCCATCCCGCCAGGTCATTTGAGACTTGATATTCACTAATTGAAAGGCGGGTATTTCTGATTAATTGTTTCGTTGCCTCATACGAAATAAAAACATTCCAACTTTTTTTTTTGCAGTCTGCATCATAAAAACATGCTTTTCAATTCACGAATATCAAGTCTCAAATGACCTGGAGGTATGGAGGAGGCGGTCCGCCGTTGGCAGACAATTCAAGGCACTGGTAATTTAGCAATCATTTAGGTCAATCCCCCAAAAATGAGTTGCATTCCTGGTATTTTTTATACATAGCCAGCTATTTTTAGATTACGGTACCCTATATAAGCTTACCTCAT